TGGTCCCTTTCCCGTTTGAAAAGATCTCCCTACTTCCTATTATCTATCTTTTATTTTGCCCTTAATTTATATTGTGGGTTTCTCCTGTGAGAGAAACAATGCAATAGTGAAGCTTGTGCGTCTGATTTGTTTTACTTAATAGTATGGTCTTGAGGTACGTCTATTTATCTATGAATGCTTCAAGTTTGAATGTAAACTAGTACAACCACTATGGAAATCAATGTAGAAATTTCTCAAAAAACTAAAACTAGAAATTCCATTTGAGCCAGGCGTGGTGGCACACATCTATAATCCCAGCACTCAGGAGGCTGAGCCAGGAGGATCACCATGTTACATGCACACTCATGCTTATAGCAGCACAATTTATAATAACTAAATCTTGGAAGTGTGTCCATCAACAGATGAATAAATAAAGACAATTCGTTATTTATATGAAGTAGTGATTATCAAAAAGAAGAGTAAATGATGGAAGTTGTAAGTAGTCTGAAAAGAGGAATATGTCTATTGTGGCAGTTCCCAAAAGGAGTCAGTATTCCCTGGGTGCCAAAAAATAAATACTTCAAAGAGATTCTATTTTCTTCTCTATTGTTGTCTATATTTTTTGAAATGCTTTGAGATATATATGTTAGGTTTATGATCTGAAAAACCATACATAGGAATACTCAGAAGAAAAATAAAGCTAAGCAGGGCCAGGGATTTAGCTCAGTGGTGGCACATCTGCCTCGCAGCACAAGGTCCTGAGTTCGATTCCCGGTACCAAAAAAAATTTTAAATGAAGCAAAGCAAAAAAAAAAAAAAAAAGCAAAACAAAGAAACACCATCACCATCAAACAAAAAAATATCACAAGTGTTCCTGCACGGGGATGTGAGTGGCGGAGTCTTTAATTGCTGAAACCATCTTAGGACTGAAGACTTCCCTTCTCATAAATATTCCTGTTCAGACTTGAACTTTCTTTAGTGCTCCACAAACCTTCAACTCTCTTTCAAGTTAAGGCCATTCGTGTACCAAATTTAAAATTCTGACCAATGTCTCAATATTTGGAGGGGGGCCTGATGCCTTACTCTAAAAACAGCTCACACTCAGTCAGTCATGCCACCACTTGGTCATTTTACATAGCTAACCTCATCAATTCTCCACGTGTCTTTTATTATAAAAGTAAATGTCAGAGCAAGGGATTCAACATTCTAAACAATGAAAATTGGAACTCATTTAAAACTGTGAGGGTATCTTTTCATCAAATTGCTGTTGGTCAAATATAACTTACAATAAAACTCATTTGGGTACAGAGATGTGATTTTATATACATAGGTATATTATATATTATATATTAATACATGTTACATTATTCAATATGTTATATATTAAGACATGGGTATATTAATTATAAGTTGTATATATGCATACACAGAAGCATAGACACTTATATGTAAATATGTGTTTGTGCATATGAAATCTAATGTTCTCCCAAAGGTTCCTCCAAATTTGTGGAAACTAGGGTCTTTCAGCTCCAACCTCCTGTTTCTCCTGAATTGCTTTAATTCAGATGTGGTCCCACAGTCTCCAACTTGTCTGCTTCTTGCTAATACAGGGGTGGGCCTTAAACATTTTCATTAATTTCCACCTAAGGAAAATTAAATGAAATGCAAATAACAAACAAAAAACTCCACACACAAAAAAAGCCACCTTCATGCAAGGAACTGTGAGTGTAGCTGATTTTATATCCCCAAACAAGGAGTTTTAAACTGAAACATTAGCTTCTTCTGCTCTTTTAGAGAACTTTAGACTCTTTTAGAGTCCCTTAGCTATTTCTGTCTCCAAAACAGAGAGGTCCTGCCCTGCGGCAGTGTTATAGCTCTTATGCTCTCCATCCTCATTCCCTTCTCCCCTCTGTTATATGCCCTCATCTTTTCTACTCTTTTTTTGGCTTTTTCCCCATTGCTAGCAGATTGGCTATTACTTTTTTGTCAATCTGGTTCATGTAGTTAATCAATTATTTTTCTTAAAATCGATTTCCTTCCTAAGAGGAATTTTTGAGCCTGCTATTAAAGGATAATATATTTTTATCCCTACTACGAAATATTTAGCCAAATCTGTAAAAAGGTAGTTTTTCCAATTGGTCTTTTACCCTTATTCAAAAAGAATTAGCAATTACTCTTACAATCATCTAATATGAATAAATCTCTCTTCTGTAAATCTCAGAGTAACTCGAATCTAAAGCCCCCATTAGACCTATGGGAAATTATCTGACTCTTGCAGCCTCATTGGAATATACAACCATGCTCACGAATTCTGAACTTCTTAGGAAGCAGCCTGCTACTGCCACCCGGGGGGAGGTTCTTGTCCGCTTCCTTCAAGAGGGCCAGTGTGCTTGTCAGACGAGGAAATCGGTTCAAGTTTTCCTTGTCATTTCCACACAGGAAGAGGACTTTTGAACTCTCTGCCCAAGAGGTCATAAGATGTTCCAGTGTCTCCAGGTTCTCTTCACAAGGAGACACATACTGCACAGACTTTCTGAGACATTCAAGAGAGGGTAGACCAGAATGTGACCATCCTAAAGTTTCTACATCTTACACAGCACATAAGAGGATTTGGAGAGTATGGGTTATGGACTAAGAAGTGGGAAAAGTCAAATTTGAGCTTTCAATAACAAAACAAAGCTCTAATCCCAATTATTTGGGAAGAGGAGGCAGGAAGTTTGCAAGTTCAAGACCAACTTAGTGATACCCTGTCCTGTCTCACAATAAAAAGGGCTAGAGGTGTAGCTCAGCAGTACCGCATCCCTGGGCTCAGTTCCAATACCATAAAAAGAAGAAAAAAAAGAAAAATCCAAATTTTTAATAAAAATGTATTTAATAAGTTATAGTTAACTGTATATCATTTCTTAAATATATTATCATTCATTGATATTAATATTATATGTGATGAGAAAATCATGCTAATAATTTCATCACTTAGGAAAAGATAAGAAATTTTAATTATATGAAAATAGTCTAAAAAGTTTCTTACAAAAATTTGAATTTATGAATTGAATACTATTATGAAGCCCATATCTAATGATCATGTATGTTTGCTGATATTTTTTATGAAGTACTGATATCATGTTTATCACTTAAAATGGAAAAAAATTGTAACCACTGTTTTAGAATATTTAATATTTATCAACCTTAACATTTCTTTATGTTGTAGGTAAATTACCATTTATTATAAATACACTAAATCAAAGAATTTAATCCTGGAAATAGAAGTTTCAGGAAGTATCTGCTAAAATTACAAGTCTGCCAGATGACATAAGTCAGTGCTGATTAGAGGAAGACAGCTAATCACTTATAAAAAGGATGTCTGGTAACAGATTAACTCAGTGAAATAATACAGTGTCAGTCTCCAGCTGGTCCAGTAGCACTGTCTGGAGGTTGAAGTTCATACCAAGGAGCAACTGCACAGATCCCGGAAAGTCTCGGTGAAGAAAGCATTTTCAAGACAGAAAAGGTAAGTGACACACAGACTGGACTGGATTACTGAGCCCGCTTTATTAAAATATCATGCATCTGAATCAGGAGCCAATAGAAATCTGCTGTGACCCAGTGCTGTCGACGCAACGAAATGAGCCACATGAGCTGGTGTCACCTTGAGGGAGCCTCCCAACCAGTGACTTTTATGGGGACATGAGACTCCTTCAAGGTGTTTGCGTTGGAATCTGTAAATACTGAGATGAGGGCCCTTAGAGGACAAGAAAAGCTTGGGGTACTTAAAATGACATGACAGAGTCACTGGTTATAAGCAAACACAGCACATCTACTTATAAAGTGTCTATTTGTGAGCCAGTGATCGGACAGCAACAGCTGATCAATCAGTGAAAGTGATTGATGACTTAGATGCTATAGGACTTGCGCTCTACAAAAAAGACAGACTGCATTGCCCAGTCCCATGAGTGGAGTAGCCTGATCCAGAGATTCTTCTCCCTCTTCCTGGGCATCATGTTGGGCTTTACTTTGTTTATTATACAGTCAGCACTTAGCAATGACGCACTGTGAAGATGATTTATTAATTATTCCATAACAGAAATTACAAGTTATTCTTATTTCATCAGAATGTTGTCTGGTGGTTTAGAAAGTCATATTGGGGATCAGCAGAAATGGGGATCTTCTTTGACTTCATTCATATTTCACAGAATAGAAGCATTCAGGAAGTCAGAAGAGAGGAATTTCTGCTGACACTGTGTACTCAAAGTCTGGGAAGGAAGGTGGGGAGGTGGGGAATGTTGTTGAAAGGCTGCTTCTTCCACCATCTTGTTCCTACTTCTTTAACCATGAATAATTTTCAAATGCTCTTGCTGATTTTGTCCCTGAGCTCGGAAATTTCAAAGCTCATTGCTAAACCAACTCACCTATCATACTGATGTATTAACATGATATATTAACATGTTCATGTTATGGACATGAGTGGGCTTCATTATATCTGCATGTAATCTGGATTTTTTTTCCTCTCATGATCCTACAATTATTATTTCTTCTTACCTTCCTCATCCATTTTTAACTTTCCTCTGTCCTTCCACTGTAAACTAGATTATTCCATTTTCTTCCTCTTCTCTCTCTGCATTATGTCCACAGGCTGTGGATTCAACCAAGCATGGATTAAAAATATTTGGGGGGAAAAACTGTCTTTTGATCAGATACAGATGTTTTTGCTCGTCACTATTCCCTAAACAATATAATATATGATTATTTGCATAGTATTTGCATAGTATTGGGCATTATAAGTAATCCAGAGATCACTGCAAGTGTCATAGGGGAAGATATGAGTAGGTTATATGGAAATACATGGTGTTTTATACAAAGGACTTGGGCACCCACTGGTTTGGTGTCTGTGGGGAGTCCTGGGACGAATCCCCCCATGGACACAGGGACAGCCGTGCACAGAATGCTCCAGGCCAAGTGAGGGGCTTACCTCGGTGAATGCAGACCCTTAACTCCACATGCTGTGCCTTTGTTTACCCACAGCCATGATGGACACCAACAAGATGGTCATCAACTTGGCGCTCTTTGGCGGGACTCAGAGTGGAAAGAGTTCTGCCGGGAACATTCTGCTGGGAAGCACTGAGTTCCACACCAGCTTTTCTCCCTCTTCTGTCACCCAGGACTGCAGCCTGGGCCGTAGCTGTCACCTCCGCAGCTTTATGCGCCGAGCGGGGCGAGAGGTCAGCCTGCAGGTGCAGGTGCTGGACACTCCTGGTTACCCACACAGCAAGCTGAGCCTGGAGCAGGTGAAGCAGGTGCTCAGGAGGGCCCTGGATCATCACTTTGGGCAGGAAGGCCTCCACCTGGCGCTGCTGGTCCAGAGAGCAGACGTGCCTTTCTGTGGACGGGAAGCTCCCTACCATGCTCAGCTCATCCAGGTAACACAAAGAACAAACCACACTGCCACAGTGGTTCTCTGAGGGACATTATCTTCAAAGGGAAGAACCAGGAAACACTGGTTAAAAGAGTAGTTCAAGCCACAAACTGTTAGTCACAGAAGAGTAATCAGTAAAAAATAGTTGATTTTTCCTTCAAGAGTCATTTTTGCCATTTCCTTGAGAGGAATTCAGCTACTCATTTTGCAGCTGGGTCATAGGAAAAGTAATTGAGATACTAATCTTCACATGTAACTATGAGCCTTAATCATCCTAAGGACTGCAAACCTAAATAAGCTTATACAGTGTGGTTCCTGGTCCGTAACAGAATCAACTAAGAACCATGGAAAGAGTATCTCAAGAGTGGGCACTGTATATCATATTTTCATAATTTCTCTATATTTCTCCAAAATAGTAAGAACTAAAATACTGACTCGCATCCATTCAGGATCAAAGGAACAGTGCATTGTGTGATCATGACCTGGTGATTGAACCTTGCGCTGAGCACCTGCACAGAGCCTAATGCTTGTGTAGACCTGAGCCCTGCCTTCAAAACCTTACAGTTTAGAAGAAACTAATAACCAGCTCAAAACAAAACAATGAATAGAGTGCCAAAATAGTGTACCATATGAGAGGGGGCTTCTTCCTAAGGCTGAACAAAATGGTAAACATTCAGGGAGTAGCTATGCATTATTAATAGGAAAGAAACCAGGAATATTAGATGTTTTCCCTATCTCTTCATCTGCAGCACAGGAAACTACTCCATTCTAGCCACGAGGAGTCCACAGGGACTTCAGATGAAACGTAAATGACATATACCACCTTTGCCTGGTGGCACATCCTTATATGTATATTTCTTCATTCATCCAGTGTTACTGAGCTGGAGTTTAATCAGACCGTCTAGAATAGGAGCTGAGTATTGTACTGCCTCTTCTTGTATGCAGTGTGTAAGCATCAGGCTCATGAAGACGATTACTAACGATTTCTGGACACTGTTCATTGAGTTCATTGTCCATTTTATTCACTCTCTCCATTCTCTAGTCTGGGACCATGCAGACTGAACCGCCGGACTTCACTAGTATCTCAGTCACTTTCCTTATTGCTAGGACATAATACCTAACACAAGGAACTTAAAGGAGGAGAAGTTTATTTAGGGTCACAATTTGTAGAAGTTCCCATACATAGCTGGTTCCAAGGTAGGACGGCATGGCAGAGAGGAATGGCAGGGGAGAAGTCACCTTCCACAGGTCCGCCTATATCCCAGGAAGCTTCGGGGAAATTTTGATTTGAACCATAACAACCAGTCGTACTCAGGAGCCTCCTTGGGTCACTGAGCTCAGAGAAGCCAGGTCTCTTAGAAACTCCACGGTAAACCACATGGAGAATAGAGAGCAGATATGTTGGTATAAATAGTCCTCACCTTTTGGTTCAATCTCAGGCCACGTGGATGTAGGCCCTGCTACACCCACAAAGATAGCATAATTTACTTTGAAGAGTATTTTTTCCTTTAACTAGTAAAGACAAAAAGATTGCTCCAAATGACACTAGTTTTGTTTTTTGGTAATTGTGGATGTTTATTAAAATGGAAAAAAAAAAGGCCATATGTGTCATCAGAAGGGACTAGCGGAAAAAATTAGGGTGACAAGAACGTAAGGACAAGCTCATCATCCAACTCCTGAGAAATCAAGGACAGGCTGTACAGATGTAGAAAAGAAAAGATGACTGCAACTAGGACTTTCTATGGGATCTAAGGAAGAAGCCTCTCACCCTTCCTGAACTGTTGAAGCTTGCATTTCAAACGGTTTCTGGTAGAAATCAAGTGATGGGAAACCTACATTCATTATAGCAGTATAATTTTTAAACGGTCTTTAAAATTCCTTTAAAGCTGTTATTAAATAAACATAGAGTTTAAGCTATAAATGGATGTAATTCAGTAACTTCAGTAAATGCACAGCTATTTCTCAAAAGCTACTCTGTCTCTCTCCACGTGCCTCATTATTTTTCCTGTTGATGAACTTATGCTGAGCCCAGAAGGGTAGTTTCAATGATGCATGTTTTGATAATAGATTTTTCTAGCTTTAGAATATGGAACAATATAGCAATCTAATTCTTTATAAAAACTAATCGGTAATTGTCTCTGTCTTTTAGAATATATCTGCACATAACATTGTCCTCTGACAACTGGTTTCCTAAGAAAGTTTCCAAGTCAGGAGTTGAAGACAGAGAGAAGAGAGGCTAGGGGAAGCTCAGGTCTGGAACAGTTTTTTTCTAGAATAAATAACTTCTCCCTCCCATGAAAACTCAGCAGGCAAGACAGTAATCCTGAGAGTGGCCCATCACTCTGCGAGGCCCTGTGGACGGATTCTGGGTTCCCCCCAGTGGCGGGTTGCTGGTCCCCAGCACACAGGCTGGCCCTTGATGGCTTTCTTCCTGAAGATGCCGAGACTCCAGCAGCGGCTGCCTGAGCCCCCAGATTGATCGGAAGCAGCTGCAGATGTCTGAATCCTGCACAGGACCAGCAGCTGTTAGAAAGGACGCACGAGTCTAAGGTCCTCAGGTTCCAGGCATATCCTGCATTTATTTTTCTTCTTGTCTGATAAAAAATGAGAGTAGAGCACCTGGCTCTCCCTTTTGCTTTACCCTTTTGGGGTGGCGCTGATTCCTGCCGTGGAAGGAGATTGTAAGGCCAGTGCCCGAGTCTTGGCCTCTTCTCCCCTCAGCCCTCCTGTTGTCTCTTCATCTCTCCCAGTTTGGGGTGTAATATTTTGCAGAGAGGTTAGAAGCGGCCAGCTGTCACAAGGAAACATTTCCCCAAATGATCTCTTTGTCTTTATTAATTACACCACAATGTGACGATGTCAGCGAGTCATCTCCCCACAGTTGAGAAATCAAAGAAAAATGATTCATCTGAATGTTATCTGGAATGTTATTTAAATATTAAAAACAAAATCCACAAATGATGGCTCAGAGAGGATATAATAGTCACCTCAAGGAAAGGGCTAGCATGCACTCAGGCTGCTCTAGGAGTTGAACCTTGGAAGCAGCTAAAGTCCATATTCTCCCCACTCTCTGGGTATTGAATGTTATTACTATGTCCAAGCTGGCTTCAAGCACGCATTTTTATTTCACAGTCAACAACTTAGCTGTGGACATTGCATGTGAGTGTGTATGCAGAAGGCTCAGCGAGACCAGTGCAGGGCCTGGATTTAGTTGTTGACAGAATTTTAGTTAAAAACAAGCCTGATGTTAGTAAGGCTTTCTTGGTTTCAGTTCCTCACTTGCAAAGTGAGAATAATTTTACCTAGGGCCGGGGGTTTAGCTCAGTGGTTTTGCTGCCTGCCTCCCAAGTGCAAGGTCCCGAGTTTGATTCCTGGTACCAAAAATAATAATAATAATAATTTTACCTACATTTTTAAAGAGCTCTGAGCATTAGGTGTAGTAAATATGACATGCTTAGCATGGTGTCTAACTTCCAGCAGATCCACAGGAAGTGGTAAAACCTTGACAAGTACCCATTCAAGTGCATCGTAGCTATAAAGGACACATTCAGGAGGTTACGGGCTGGAGTTCAAGTACCTACTTAGCTACTCACTTGCTCAGTGACCTGGGGCAAGTGACTTCTCTAAACTTCACTGGTGAATTGGGAATTATCATAGTATCTACTTCACTGAATACTTTTGGGATTCATGGCATAACAGTAACTTGCTTAACAGACCCTAGCACATTGCTGGTACACAGTAAAGGTTAGCTCTGGTCATTATTATTGTTAGCATTTGTTGATTCTAAAATTTGTATATATTATTTGCAAAATTAAACTTCTTTAAGTTTACCTGGATAGGCTTCAGAGGAAAATAAGAATAAAATCCTGCTTACATAGGTCTGGTTTATAAATATAAAAAGTAACTTCCTTATTAATTTAGAAAAAAATCTGGGGAAAAAAAGCTTCCTTGCTTTTTCATACGTTTCAATTGAGAAGCTACAGTTTACTGGGAAGAACATGGGCCTAACAGGGGACTTTTGTTATGGGCCCAGGATCCCCAGTATTCAGCCTTGGAGCGTTGGCCAAGCTATTTAACATCAATGGCCTCAATACTCTCATCTGTAAAATGAAGCAATTTGGACAGATGCTGTCTAAGGTTGAATATTCTCTCAATCTGACTTAATGAGGTCTTATCATTCCACTTTGGCTCTCTGAGGAGTGCTTTAAAGTAGAAAGAGGGTAAGAGAACAGCATAAAATATAAAAAATGGTCCTTATTGTCCTGTTCCATGATAATCTTTTTCTAAGTTGATGTAATAGTTGGCTTTTAAAAAAAATTTCCTCCTAAAAGGTCCAGATGCTATGATTTCATCAACCACAAATAAATGGGGCAGGACTGGTGAGGTCCTGGGAAAGTGAACATAATTCCTGGAAGACAAGGTTTATATCCTAACTAGTTGTCCCAGAAGGACTCAATGGAATCATACCCATTAGCAGTCTAAAACCAAACAACTCATGATTATAAAATTTCCATCTATCATAGTACTGTATTTAAGTTATTAACGTCAGACAACTTACATTAACTTATCTTGCCCTTGCAGTTTTTTTGGTGAGGTATCAATCAACTGTGCTTTTTCTTTCTTTGGGTCCACAGAGAACATATTTGGCCCCTGACATGTTGACTCCACACCGAGCGACACGATTTTCAACTACTTTCTGGCCAAAAATCTACCTAAAGATTAAATGCTAAAGCTGCCACCCTCTCCTGTTTTGGGCACCAAGTCAAAAGTGCAGTTTCTCTGCAGTTTAGGACATCAGCTTCCTTTCATAGATAATTATCAACTTTCCAGTGAGGGAACACATGGGGCTTGCAAGCTTAGGAACCTATTATCCTTGGGTGCTTCTCCTTTCCCCTGCATGAAACAATGATTTAAAGTATAGGAAATGTCCAGCAGAAACAAAGAGGAAATGTGTTGTCAAAACACAGAAAACCAGGAACTACAGGAATATCATGGCTATTATACCACTTAACTCAGTAAGTACTAGCCTAGAAAGATAAGAATTCTAAGTTGTGATATGTATCTCAGGAAAGAACTGTCCTATAGTTTATTTAGCAAAATAAATATTTGGTGATTGTCTTGGTTACTTTTCTCATTGCTGAGACAAATGCCCAACACCCAAAGGTAAAGGAAGAAAGGTTTATTTCAGTTCACAGTTTGTAGAGGTTTCAGTTTGTAGCCAGCTGCACTCAAGGCAGGGTGGCACGGCAGAGGGGGCATCACAGAGGAGAAACAGGTCATGACAGCAGAAGGCAGCAAGGCAGCAAGCATCAAGAGCAGCAGCAGCAGCCAGCCTCTTCCTTTTGTCCCTTCTAGGCCACTTTCTTTTTGGATGGTGCCACCCACACCCAGGGTGGGGCTTCCTTAATCCAAGCATCACACCCTTAATCCCAGTATCACACACCCTAGATCCACCCATCTGTGAAAAGCCCTACCTATGAGCACATGAGACTTTGTGTGTGTGTGTGTGGGGTCTAGATACAAGCCATAACAGTGGTATTTCAAAAATATTTAATGACAAGTATGGGCTAGGTATCAGTTAATAAATATCCATGAGGTAGGTTTGGGTGGTGCTCAAGGATGAAGGGCAGTGGCTTTTCACTTACTTGCATGTAAACATTTCACTCATGACAATATGGCCACATCAGGGATGTACTGAGTATCAGATCTGGCTCTAAATTTGAGAAACTTTCAGTCATAGGCATGATCAGGGTCAATAGTTGTGTGGAAACAAAATCCCAATAACATACAATCCCCAGCCATGTTCATTATATTAATTTCCTTGTTAATTCCTGTGGATTCTTCAAGAATCATTCAAGGCATCATCCCACAGAGGAAATTTATTGATCTCTGCCCTTTATCTCACTTCCCACACCTACCCAAAACTGGACTACATGTTTATCTCTATAACATTCACTTGATTTCTATCACAACACTGGCAAATATAGCAAGTCTAAAGTATGTCATTCCTGGCTGTTCCCTTTTTTCAGCTGTAATATAGTACAAAAGAATGTCCACTAGATATAAGCAGAACTTATATCTGCCTTGTTTCACAGTTGTTCTACCCTGCAGAACATGCCTAGAACAAAGTAGCCCATTAATAAGTGTATGCACAAGGGATTGACCATCTGGAGTGCTTTCTTAATGTCAAGTGCCCAGGCTCCAGCCCTAAGGGATCTGATGCATTTTCAGCAACTCCTCGGGTGATTTTGATGCAAAGAGTCCCAGAATATTTTTATTGCCTGAACCTACCTCTGATATGTGTGGAACTTCATTAAGTTTTTAACCTCATTTATTAGCATTCTAGTGTTGCTGTGACAATGTACATACATGGGGTACATTAGGTACGTACATGGGGTGGCTTAAACAATAGGTATTTATTGTCTCTCAGTTCTGGAGGCTGGAAATTTGACGTCAAGGAGCTCTCAGAGGGCTGTGAGTGAAGGATCTGTCTCAGGCCCTCTCCTTGGCCTTTTTCATGATCACACCAAGTTCTCCTTGTATTTATGTCTTTATCCAGGTTTCCCTGTTTTGTAAGGACATCTAGCACACACCAGATCAGGAACTCACCTTTCTGACATTACCATAACTAATTATATCTGCAATGAGCCTGTTCCCAAATAAAGTCACCTCCTGAGGAACTAGGGCTTCAGACTTTACCCATGAATTTTGGGGAGGACATAATACAAACTGTAACATCAATGTTCATTTACTTTGCAACTCTGTGGCTCTTCTCCACCAGAGATCCGTTACAGTACTCTGAATACATGAAAGTTCTTAAGGTTTCTACTAATTTTATTATGTCACCATTAGCTAAAGTGGCATGCTGGCATCACATAGACACTTGGATTTACATAGTGTTATGCTGTTTATAGATTGGATTGATTAAAATTTTCAAATGAATGTATATGTTCAAGACACATAAGAATATGCCAATTAAAGTGCTTTCATGAACAATCATTGTGCAGTTTAGACTTTTTTGTAAAATAATATTCTCTGATGTATTCATCCTTAAAATTTAATTCAGATTTTCTTGAAACAGTATGTTTTTAGGAAAAATAAAAATACACAATTGTTCTATGGTATAGACTGTTGAGTTCTAAATAGATGTAAGAAAGATGTTGAACTTCTTCCTTGAGAGAGTCACTGTGTGTATAAAACAGAAAGCACAGACCACAGTGGAATCCATCATGAACTGCAGAACAAAAGAGGAGCTTTATAGGAAAGTAAAATATTGTGTCTCAAAGATAAATTAAACTTCAAAATCGCACCCTCAAACAAATAAATAAAACCCTAAGCCTTCTATTTGGGATGGGATAAGGATCCATATTACAAATTTATTCAACAGATATTTATTGAGAGTTTATAACATGCTAAAATCTCTGATTAAGGAAGAAAGCTGTGGGCCTTGCCTTCAAAGAGCTCACTGTCAGTTTTAGACATGGATATATAAATAAGTGGCTCTGATCAAAACCAGACAGCCACATTCTATCAGGGCCTGTAATTCCTAACCATGGTCCTGAAATGTTTCTAATTTTAACTATTTAGGCCCATAGTTTTCATGAGTACTTTCGTATTATGTTTACATGTCCTAATTCCTTTCATTCTTCCTTCCTTTGTTCCTTTTCTTTCCTTTTTCTTTTCAGTTATTCAGTAGCATAAATACTAATCTTGTATTTGTAATATACAAGGAGTGATCACAAAAAGCAAATGCCTAAACTAAAAAAAATGATTAGACCAAATAGTGCATTATTTATCCATCTCAAAATACCCCTCCTTGCTTCAAACACATCCCATCATTCTTGTCACTTTTTGAAGCAGTACTTTCACATCTTACAGAGTGATCAAAAATACAGTGAATACTGCTGCTGAGTGCCATCCAATAGAAAGGGAGCTCATAAAAACATCGTGGTGCGTCGTCCTCCACATTATTCACCAGATCTGGCACAGTGTAGTTTCTGACTCTTCCCCAAAGTCTTAATGACCATGAAAGGTAAATGATTTGAATTGATCCAGGACATCAAGGCAGCCACAATAAGACAACTAAAGACATTCAGGAAAGAGGACTCCAGAGCTGCTGCAGAAGATGGCAAGAACCACAGTATAAGTGTGTTTAAAGTGAGGGAGACTATTTTGAGGGGAATTCATGGCAAGGTGTCTTTTATTGTAATAATTTTTTATTTAAACACACCATAATTACACTGAATGTTTCCCAGACTTTCATTTTCTTCACAAATTTTTTAACTAGAGTTTTTACTAATATGTGTAACGCAACCTCTCTATATGTCAGTTTCTCTGTATCATAATGGAGATTATAACAGTATCTCCCACAAAGCATCACGCTGTGCTTCTAAAGAGACAGTGTGTATTGGTGCTTAGCATAATATCTGGCAATGAATATTAGTTGTCTTCCTTCCTTTCTTCTGATTACTAGAAGTTCTGAATATTTCTTATTATGCTTATTCCTATGCATTTTGTATTTTTCTTGCTATTACAAACTGGTAGCATCTTTGGAAATATTGTAGTAATGAGAATGTTTGGAATGGAGAGAGTTATTTTACTGTCACACTGTCATTATTTCATATAACTTTGGAAGTATTCAAAAAAGTTAAATGGTTATTTCTGCATGCCTTTCATAGTGCATGAATAATTTGCCACATGCTATTACTTCTGCTTTATATCAGCTTAGTTTCACTAATCAAACAAGAATTTATTACGTGACCAACTTCCACATATAGCTAAACAAAGAAACACCAGTCCTCATCATTTCCCAACCACATGAGAAGAATTCATTCAAGATATTGTGTTTGATTTTAGGCATGTGCAGTGACAAGGGAGGGGATTTGGGGATTACAGGAGTGTTTTGTAGTTGTTCCAAATCACCAAATGTTTTTTGATCTTAGCTTTTCTGTGGCATATCATCTGATTAATCAATAGATTGTAATGTGATAATATAATTTTAAGCCCTTAATAATGTTTGTAGTGTTGGTAACATAACATCTCTATAAATAAATAATAACTAAAAATCATAATTCCCTTGGTCAAGGTCCTTTGACTTTAAGAAATTTAGTGATTCTAACAGAGTCAGGTTGTTAAGCAAGTATAAATGATTACTGAATGTTATAATTGTATCATATTCAACATAATCAGATAGTATGCAAAGTTGGGTTGTATATATCAAGTATAAGGATAAAGTAAAGAAATGAAGTTTTTTTTCAGAAAGCTCATCCATCAGCCTCTATTTGCTTATCATACTTGACCTAATATCCTCTTCCCATTACATTATCAGCTTTCAGAAATATTATGGCACACAGATCTGTTGTCTAACTACATTGGACCTTTGAAATTCCTTTGCTGATTTTTGAGGTGTAGAGTCCAAGGCAAATAGCTATTTTGCTTCTTCTGTCTTTCAGGAACTTCTGGGACATGCTTGGAAGTATCACACTGCTGTTCTTTTCACTCATGCAGAAAGAATAGAAGAGGCTGGGTCCAGTGAAAGTGAATACTTACGCGAAGCCCCTGACGGCCTACTGAGCCTCCTAAATTCTGTACAGAAGAGATATGTTTTCCAGTATAAAAAAGCAAGCTCCTTTAATGAGCAAAGAATGAAAATATTAGAAAGAATTGTGGAATTTATAAAAGAAAATCATTATCAAGTTCTTACCTTTAAATAAAATTCAAGAGAAAGAAACAATGGGTGTTGGGAGTCAGAAACCTGGTTTAAAACCTGGCGGCGGGCCCTGAGAATTCCCCACGTGGCCAGTGAGAGCATGGGTTTGTATAACCGCCCTGGGAAACTGTAAGTTAAAAAGAACATCAAGGATGCAAGATTTCTAACGCAAATCCCATGATATAAAAATTATCCCCCTAAGTACATACGCCACAGAAAGTTGTATATTTGTTCAGTAAAAGACACGCATGGGGCTGGGGACTTAGCTTAGTAGTTTCGCTGCCTGCTGCGCAAGTGCAAGGACTTGTGTTCGATCCCTGGTACCAAAAACAAAAAAACAAAAATTTGGGCCAGGGATTTAGCTCAATGGTTTCCCCGCCTGCTTAGCAAGCGCAAGGACTCAAGTTCGATCCCCAGTACCCCCCCCCCAAAAAAAGACACACATGTATGAGAATGCTTACAGTAGTGCGACTCATAAAAGCCCCAAACCCAAAACTATCCAAAGGTTCACTAAAAGCAGAACGGATATGTAAATTGTAGTATATTAACACAACGAGACAGTATACAGGAAGGAGGATAAGCAAACTCAACCATATGCAATAATATTAATTGCCCAAACATTATGTTGAGAGAAACAAGCCAGATGTAAAACAGTACAGAGTCTATGATTCCATTTGTATAAGGTTCAAAAACAGTTGAAACAAATGTAATCTAGATCACTGGTCTGATGAGAAGCCCTAGGGCTCGGGAGAGTGAGTGGCTATCCCTGGGGAGGGGACAGCAAATGAAGGAAGGTCCTGGGCTAGCGGCTGAGATTTTGGTAATTAGTGCTCTGGTTCCTGGTATGGAAGCTGCACGTGCAGGGTGGGTTTTCAAATGCTAGTAATTTATGAGTGACTTAGAATAATCATCAAACATGAATAATGATCAATATTTCCTAAACTAGCCACGTTGCTTACTTGATGCTGGAGGGAGGGAAATTGCTTAACCTGGTCCTATTCTGTTTCCTCATTTGGAACACCTGCTTCGGTTACTGTAGTGATGAGATGACCTTGCACTTGACAGATGCTCAGTAAGTGTTAACTATCTTTCCCGCTTTCTTAAAATCTGTTGTTCCTATTTAGGTTCAGAAATATTAGGCAAAACTCAGAATAAGCCTTTCAATGAGAGCAGAGTAGGAATTGGCAAAGTTGACTCCAAAAATGGTGACGAAAGTAGCCCCCTCTGTCTTGGAATGCCGGTCACTTAGGCATGGCAAAGATCTCCAAGATGAGGGCCAGGGATGTAGCTCAGTGGTTCTGCCACCTGCCTCAAAAGCATAAGACCAGAGTTCGAACCCCGGTACCAAAAAAAAAATCTTCAAGATGATCCCAAGGGCAGTAGTGGGAATTGAAGGAAAGTAACTCTACTTGATCATAAGAGCCAAGTCCATCCATTAACAAGTCAAAATCAAACCACTTTCACAAAGATAGTCACCAATTCACAGCCTGTTTTCATAAATTCAATTTTTTATTGTTTATAGCATCCAGGATACTATATTTTTCACTAGAAATGAGATTATATCTAATGGCTATTTTCCCAGACCAGTCCTCAAAATTCTACTTCAATTTTCAGTATTACTTAACTTTAGCACAGATGGGATTTATTAAATAATGCATCATTTTCTTATATACATGGTAGGGAGAGAGCTAGATATAGGGATATATCTCTTGGGCCTATTTCTGAATCTATTCTATAGTCTTCTTTCTCATTACTTATTTTATTTATATTGCTGTCAATCCAGGATGACTTAATTATAGTGGGTTAGTAAAACCGAAACATAATACTTGTACATTTTGTGGTATATTATGGTATTCAGTGTATGTATATAATGTGCAATAAGGCATTTTCAGTTCTTCAAACATTAATGGTTTTTACCTGTTGGTGTTGCGTCTGGGGTATGCCGCACATCGCTACTCTGCAGCCAACTGAGGTGGAAAACTTTCCACCAGTAATGAATTAATGGAACAAAGTTTAAAAGGAAAACACTTTATTTGAAAAGAGAGAAAAGGAGAAGATAGAAAGATATCCCAGTGAGGAGTTATCAGGGCAGGGGCACTGAAAAAGACAGACACCTGCAGGCCTTTATCCTCAGCTTCCTTTTACTATGTTTTGGGGACTTGTCACAACCTGATAGGCTACCCCAGACCCCAAGCAAGGCACTGTCTCCCACTGCCCTACATGCAAGTTTCCTAGGTGGGCTTGCCTGTCCTGGTCAGGGCTGTATCTCCGGAACTTTTAGGTTGATTGGGAGGAACCTTACAGATGAGAAAACTTAAAATTAGTGATTAAGGGGATGAGTATTAACCAGTGTGGCAATACAGTGACCCTAGCATGATATACACATGAGTTTTCTTTTAAGCAGCTGTTCCCTGTCTCCACATTTTATGGAAGGTGGGGAAGGGCAGCTAAGCAACTTGGTTAGGGCACCTGCCTGCCTGGCTTCCTCCCCTCTGCTTAACAGTTCTCTCTGGTCTTGTTAATTGCTCCCTCCATAGAGCTTTAACTCTTTCTGGTCAGGATTAGCTAGAAAGCCCAACGAGGCCCTTATTTTATATTTTTTTCCTGTCTACAGACCCCTTTCCCCTACACTGGGAATTCCATACTTGTGTAGTCATTATGAAATATATCATAGATTGTTTTAAGCAATAATTACCCTACTGCGCTAAAGAAGGAGAAGTAATTCCTCTGCTCTTTTTCCGTATCCGCTGATGCCTAGGAGTTCAAGGTTTTCCTGTTTTCTTTTTACAGAAGATTTCTGGCCACTCTTAAGCATTCATTGAAATACATTCTCTGATCAATTCTTTCTGATTTTCAAAAAGAGAAAAAAATGTATATATATGGGTGATTGGAAAATACAGTGAAAGTTTAAATCAAAAACATTTTATTACAGTAGAAGCACACTGATATTAATCGCCCTGATTGATAATACTCTCCCTTGCTTTCAACAGTTTACTCATTGTTCTTGCCCCTTTCTGAAGCAGTTCTGGAAATCCTCATTCATAAGTGTCTTTAGTTGCTTTGCCGTGGCTGCTTCATTGTCCTAAATTGAAACAAAGATTTACGTTTCATGCTCATTTTGATTTGGAGGAAGAGCTAGATGTCACACAGTCCCAGATTCATTGAATAAGGTAGATGAGGACACACTGAGATGGTTTTTAGTTTGCTTTTCTTTTGGATAACACACAACAGCAGAATTTACCATATTTTTTAATCACAAACTTTTAAGCCATTCATAAAAGAGACTTCTAAAACTGTTTCAGAAAGTAACAGAACAATGAGATGAATGTGTCTGAAGCGGGGGGAGGGGGTGCCTTGATGGACATTAGTGACAATTTATCTTTTACTGTATAAGTTATTTTTAATTTAAACATTCACCCTATATTTCAATAATACTTTGTATATGTGTTTTAATGACGAATGACATTCTGTGATAATAAATCCTCTTATGGGCACATGAGATGTTTCTCCATCTTTATGTATATTACTATATTTGAGGTTTTTTTGTTTTCTCTAGTTTTGCTGATTTGATAAAGTTGCTATTAATCCCATTTTTCTCCTTGATAATTTGGAAGTTCTTCTCTAGATCTAGAGACCTATACATCTATACATCTGGAGATCTATATATCTAGATATAGATGTGTATCTATAAAGGATTACCAGAATCAGTACTAAGTTTCCTACTATTATTTGACAACGAAGTAACTGTTATTTCCCCAATCAAGAATTTTCCCTTCCATCATCACTTCAGCTACCAAAATAAGACTTTTACAATACATTCCCTTCTTCTTTATCTTCCGGTAGTTCATCATTGTATCTTTTTAAAATTGGATTCTCTCTGGTTCTATTTATTTTTATTAGTACATGTTTGTGGTGCATAATGAATTCATTTTGAGCAGTTGGTACATGTTCATGATGCATTGTAATGCTTTTTATACCCCATTCCCTTCTCCTCCTCCTCCTTCCCAATATGCTTTAATATGTAAATATCCTCATCATTATTTTCCCTCCTCTTCCTCTTTTCTCATCTTTCTGGTTAGTGAGTTTTCCCAGTATACCCTAATTTCTAGCAAAGAATCTGTGGTGCACTGAATTTCACACATTCTCCTGTTATCATTATGCAGCAGTAATCCCAGCTCTGTAAGATAATCTTCATCGTGGATGCAGGGACATCATGCCAACTGGTAATAGGGTGATGGAATCCTATGCATCAGGCACTGAAGTGAATACCTTGTAGCTATGTTCCACCTGAGGCTGGGTTGCCCGGCTATTTCTGAATGGTAGTACGCATGTATCCATCAAATAAGCCAGCCATTTCTGAAGATGATTACAGCTCACAACAAAAGAACCATGTGAACAGGATTAGTGCTAGGCAGCAGAAATGATGCCCAGCCAGTTTGTCTTTGGTGGTCCTGCCACCTTTCCTAGGAATCTATTATTTGCAATCTTGCCTTCTGACTTTTCAGATGCCAATCTGTGTGCTATTCTCACCTGGAAGCCAAAACTTTTTACTAAATTTTATATTTGAAAGTACTTTGCCATTTTAGGGATTGTAAGATAGTATATTTCATATTTTTGTACAGCTGTGGTCAGTCTTAGGGCATACTATCTCAGGCATTTAGTGATTACCTCTAAAACCTTCCAGTGCTGGCTCTTTCTGGGTTTATTCTTCTAGATATAGCATCTTAATTAGCAATTTCAATTTTCTTTCTTTTTCAAAGGGTCTATTTATCTATATTCTGCCCTTTTTCTTAAAGAATTTGTTTAGTTTTTCCCCTGTTGACTTCAGACCTATCGGGTTTTTTTTTCCCATAAAAGGCTATTTTCAAGAGTTAGTTATTTTCTAGATTCACTCAAACTTTATTTCAAAAATAAGTATCTTTTCGCAAGCATCATAAGTTTTTTAGTGTAGCTTTAAGAGAAATTGTTATCTTTTCATATGAAAACTGAAGGTTACACAAAGAAGTTATTTTAACCAAAATCATTCTTTTGCTAAACTTATTGAAAGTGACTTTTAGTTTATATTTTTCATTAAAGTTTTTCAAAGAGAAATTTAGTCATGGTGTTGCTTTTGGATGCATATGCACTGTTCTTTCCAAATTCCCCTGGTGTGAAAATTTGAGTGGGTATTAAATGAACAAATATCAGCCAAATATGTAATCTCAGGGCTGAAAAGTAGAGGCGTATATCGAGGCCTTTCTCTATGGGATGTATGATATTCTAATGAGGTAATTTTCAAAAACAAATGTAAAACTTCGTCAGAGTGACCTTGACATAAAGGCTGACCATGCAAATGCCTAAGGAAATGAAGAGACACTAAGGACTGCTAGTTGGACAATTCTATAGGCATTATACAGCAGTGGGAAAGACAATAGTTAGGTAGGCCTCCATTAAAAAGAATTATTCTTTCTCCTTGCAATTACTGAGCCCCAGGCTTGTTTCTATGCCTGTTGCTAAGGACAATAGCCTGCCAGATAGGAAATGATGTTGATGAAGACATAAAGTAACACACACATTTTTTACTTAAAAACTAGAGAACTGGGAATAGAGTGTGGTAGGAAGGGAGTGAAATTTAGAAACGAAGAAAGAAACAAGGGAGTACATAGGGTGAAAAGATACACTACACAATAATTAATTTACACTTCGAAATTCCAGATGGCTCACTTTTAAACCACCAATTATTTTATTGTTCTGGGTCCTTTCTCTACATTTTTTGGGTGTTATATTCCAATGAATTATCTCTGCCAAGACTTAAAGGAAAAAGTAACTATCAAATGTGCAATAAACAAGTATGTGTAATTCATCCTTTTCCATTCCAGTAAGTTGGTAACTAAGGAAGATTCAGTTTTGTATACAGCCATATTAGCCATCAACAACTATGGCACTGTTATCCAGGCTCTTAGGTACGAAGAGCAATGAATTGCCAAGTGCACACTCCATGGCACATAGAAAGCACCTACATTTACTGAAGGTCACAGAAGTTGTGCTCAGGGCAAGTGCGTGCCGACAAAAGATATGGCACAAACAGAAAAGTGGTGCCGGGGTAACAGGAAAGCAAAAGCACTGCACACACAGCACAGCACACAAACACAGCAAGAGCCCCTGGATGACTCAGGCTTTCAGAATTTAAAGGATATGCTCCTCAGCCCAGGTGCCTTCCTGAATCTCTAGGTGTGATGGACAGGAACGACTGACAGGTTGCTGAGTCATCTCAGGGGCTCTCAATATACATGCCAGTCCCAGAATTCACTGATTTTAATTGCATGTATGAGATATAGTGTTTATTCATGAACCCTTAATAAGGTTGGTCCAGGGTGAAGATGATTGGAGGTCAGGCCTGGGGATCCACCACGCATGTGCTCTTGTAGAACGGGGGTCTTTTCTATGTGATTCTCTACCTCTCCTATGTCAATGGAAGGAGGAATGCTAGGTGCTGTTTAAAATTAAATGGGTAGAAGGGAGTGACTTTCTCAGCTCCATTGTTTCTAACTGTATTACTACTTTTCATTATTATTACAAATTTAGAATTATCACCAGGAGTGTCACAAGTTTTATAGCAGTGTATCTATTTATCTATGCATCCATCCATCCACGCATCCACCCACCCTCCCAATCAACCACCTCTATCTGGAACTTAGTGACTTCCACACACCAGCTTTCCAGATGGACTGTCATTACAGGTCCAATGCCTCCAACAACAGTGTACTATTTGAAGAATAAAGTCACATGGCTCTTTTAAAAAGCTGCTGCTGCCATACTGGCCTGATTTTGCCAAGTGAGTTCTTATGAACCCTTACAGCAAAAAGACTTTACTAAGTTTTCCTTGCAGCCACACCAGAAGAGTGTTTAATAATCTTTTCTCTCCCTTTACAATCTCTTCCATATTCCACTAAAGGAGCTACCCTTATCTCCTTGGATGAACTACTAAACTATTTTGTCACTATCTTTCAGGTTATTCAAAAGACACTTTTCTAAAACATTTCACTTAAGGAAATCACACGGCCATTTAACTAATATGGCAGGAAATATTCTGTAATGGAGAAAAGCCCAAGATTAATAAGTCGGCAAGTCTAGGCTTCAGGTTAGTAGAGTCAAAATATTCATTGTAAAATAGGGCAATGGGATTGAGCACCACCACATAGGCTGGCAAAGAATGATAAAGGGGAAGAATAAGTAGAAGGTTTTTTTTTTTTTTTTTGGTACCGGGGATCAAACTCGGGTCCTTGCGCTTGTGCAGCAGGCCGCAAAACCACTGAGCTAAATCCCCGGCCCCTTAGAAGGTTTTAATTAGCAAAACTGAAGTGCTATACAAGATGCTGGGAAATGGTCACTTGTGAAAAAATTCAGTTGTATAACATTCACTGTCTCTCAGAAGCACCAATCATCTTCGATCTCTTCATTTTACTAATGGAAAGAAACATTAAAGATTTTGGAATTTCTAGTAAAACTTAAAGAAATACCTTCAGAGAGAATAATAAGAAAGTACACATTTTCCCTCATGCAATGTTAGAGGAAATATATGATTTTAAGATCATTTTTCTTGCTATTTAGGTATTGAAAACTATGAAAGGAAGAAATATGACCAGCCCTCTCCCAATACGCTCTTGTGTGGCTGCCTTCCAGCGGATGTTAAGAGTACCAGCTTTTCTTACACAGTCCCTACCTTAGGATCTTTTAAATAAATTTCGGGTTCCTTTAATATTCTAGGATTGAGATAAATTAGACTTGGGTGAGATCAAACATTATGAAAGATAATTACAATGGTATTTTAAAATGAGGAAAAATTGCTATGTAGAGAATATATTACCATTATTTATAAATTGATTGATGCTCTTTGCCTGGTTTAATATCTCTGCTATTTGTCTAAATGTATTTTTATTCCTAACTAGTGTTAATGTCATAACAGTGATAGTTTCTATCACTAATTGTAATAAATATTTTCCTATGTAGGGCTGAACTGGTAACTTAATGCTTTAGGTAAATGGAAAGATTGTGCATTAATCCCCAACTTCTTTCTCTCTTTGGCATGGATTTTTACGTGCTAAAGATCTTAGGGGATTGTGGAAGGAAACGTGGTCACTTGATAAAATTAGTAAGATATAATGCAGTGCCTGAGAAAGGGAAGAGGTGTTTGAAGTTTGTGCAGTGTACTCGTCTGTGGTGGAACTTCATCAGTTTTGGCCAGAAATCAGCCACCGATGTGCTAGCTCATGGCTTTAACAAAGGAACAAATTGTTAAAATTTCCAGGTTCTACATATGTGATAGTCATTAATTTGGGCTTTACTATCAAAATGATAATTTGATAGGAGACTAGAGTATGGCGATATTTAGTTGGGAAAATGACTACAGAGGACTATTTCAACTAAATGAAATATTTTTCAAACTTCATTAAAATTAAAGAAATTACATAATCGACAAGAATTAGAACAAAAGACTCACAAAAACCTTTTTCATCAAGTCATTTCCCAAAGAAAACATATTTTAAAAAAAAATACAAAAGAAAGGGCCGGGGATGTAGCTCAGTGGCACAGTGCCTACCTGGCAAGTGTGAGGCCTTGAGTTCAATCCCTGGCACCAAAAATATAAATGCAAAAAGAAAATATATTTTGAGGACAAAATATCTTTTGAAATTCCTTTGTGTTTAGGAATCAGATTGTGACAGTTAACTGTTGTGCCAAGTAACAGGAGCAAGAAGCGCCCGACTGACTGGGCCAGCACAGTTCTGCGTGTGGCTGAAGGGATTTACTGAAGACAGGAGACCCACCCTGGGTGTGAGTGGCACCGACCAACAGGCTTGTGGCCTGAACGGAATAACAGCGGAACAAAGAAGGAAGTCTGCTCGGGTTGCTTGTGTCTTCAGAGGAGTTCGCCTTCACCCAGGACTCCGAATCCTGGTTGCCAGTGCAGACTCTTCGGCCTCCAGACATAGACTCACACAGGACTCTGCAGTGAGCACCAGGCCTCGGAGCTTTGACTGCACCCTTCAGACCTGCAGCACGCAGACAGCCCTTCTACCTTCCACACAAGGTCAGCGGCCACTGTAGCCCACCATAGCCCACCTTGTAATCTGTCTGTGTTTGTACATCATAACTGAAATCTGTCTGTCTAGTGAGCGCTGGCCGATACACAGATGTGAATGAGGCTCTGCTCACCATCAGTTTCTCAGAATGAAGATCCAACATTTATAATGGTCCTAATACCAGAGCCTCACGGATTTAAGTAAGGAACCCTGTACTTTTTACAGCATGAAGGGTTGTTAGCTGCTTGGTCTATTTTCATCGCTCTTCCTTCCTGGAGGATGGAGACTAGGCATCCATGGTGCTAGGGTTTGTGTGTGTTTTCAAGCAGGTTGCACACTCTTGGCTACAGGGGCCTCTTTCTCTTTCGGTAACCCAAGTCATCAGTTAGCATTTCATGGCTGTGACAGTCCTCATAAAGGCTCATAAATCCTCACTGTTCCTACAGGTTTTGTAAGATGAGAGAGAATAAGTGTTTGGCACCTTAATATATAGTTTTATGTTAAGTTTGAGGCTATAATTTCTTTTAATATATTGACAGTATCATGGTACATAAAAAATAAATATACCAGCCTTAAGTATTCTGGTCAAAATTAGTATCACAAATTATTTTGCATGTGGAAAGAAAAAGTTTAATTCTAGTTTGGAATTTCAGTTTTTTTAACAAGTGACTTTACATGTTATATATCAGGGTTACTTCAGCAGCAAACTACAAATGTTCAAATACCATCGCCCCAAGATTTCATGATGTTTGACTTTCAGAATCAACATTTGGTCATTCTAAGTTTGATAAAAATTCCAATTTGTCACTTATAAGAGGACATTTATAACACAGGTATACAATATACTGAAATTCTAACAGCCTAAAAATTTATTCACCACGTGTTCTCGAATAACAAACTAAATATTAACCTCGTTTAAGTTATCTAAATATAAAGAGAAAAAACAACTTGCTAACCAATATATATCCTACAAAATAAATTATCACAAAACATAGGCAACTTTCTCCCTCCATTATAAATGATCAAAAACCTCATGTAGAAATACAGCTTTCCCTAACCGACTGAAAACAAAATATAGCAAGTAAAGGACTAGTTAAGTGTGAAAGAGAAGTGACACACAAAGATGAGCCAGGCACAGCACCGCACACCCCTTTTCTGGCTCCTAGGGTCTCCTCCTGTTTGTCCCGGCAGTGGCAGTGCTGGACCTTACTTGATCCCGCTCTTGGCCATGGTCTGGGCCCTGACCACTCCCTTGCCCTTCACCTCAAAGGGGATGCCTCTGTAGGTGGCCACACACTCGTCGCTGGTGTACAGGTCAGGCTGGATCTGCTCCCAAATCTTCTTCTTAGGGTTCAGCTCCTTGTCAGGCTCTCCTGTGAGGGGAGGAAAATCAGCCAATCAATGAAGAAAAACCAACCAAGCAATCAACAAATATACAGAAATACAAAAGCAATCAGCCCCAAGGATGCCTCATCAATTGTCTTAGCAGCACTTTCCAATCTTCAGACCTCAGCAAACTTTTGATGTTCATTTTATATTTATAAGCAGTTTATATCCTTAATTGGTAAAACAGATTTTAATCATTTCCTCAGGAATGTTAGTTTTTTACTGTTACGATAGTATTTCTGCAAGCAATATAGCTCAATGAATTTGCTCCCCAAACTATTAAAAAGGTAAGATACTCATTTTATTTTCACATGTAAAGAAAAACTCTGAAGAGGAGGGCAAACTTTGATGTATTTATGTTTTTACAATTGGTGGAAACAGCTTATGCTTTACTCTAGATTTCAACACATAACAACAGCTTAAGTGCTCGGATTATCCAGCTGAGCATGAAAACTGCTCTGGGTTTCATTTGCTTTCCTTGGTAAGAAGGAAAGAGACAGAGGGAGTAGTGAGGGCACAAGGACTGGCATTTTCTACACACTAGGAACGGATGTTGTTACTTGACATTTATACAACAGCCTCAATTTTCATTTTAAATATAAGGAAACTGAAGGAGAGAGAAGATAAGTTGCTGGAAGTCACAGAACTAAGTGGGCCAGGATTTGACATCAAAATTCATGTTCTCATTGTTTCTCGGCCTTTTGGCTAAGATCAAGTGCAAAGTTCATGTTCTGCTTCTGCAGCACCCTGCCTCCTGATAAATTCTGCTTTCAAAAGAAGAAAAAGCCTTTGTACAGGTGGATAACTGCCCTAATCTTTCTATAGTAAATCAAATCACAAACTTTACAACCAATAGAAGACAAATAACCAGAATTAACTGGTCTGGGCTTAAAGACAAAAGAATTCCACTTATTGATAGGAAAATTGAGAGTAAAGTTCAACACAGGTTTAGATGCAGAGACTTCAATAACACTTGGGATAAAGAAGCAGTTCAGGAAACAAGGAAGAAGAGCAAGTCAGCTCTTAATCAGGCATTCATTACTGGACTTTTAGGGAGTGAGAGCTGTGTAGACTCTGGATCTTTTTCCCAGTGACTCTTACGTGGAAATGTCTTTCCATTACCAGAACTACCGATATCTCGCATTTGGATTACATCGTATTAGCCAACGTAGTGTCTCTTTTCCCTTTTATTAGCTCTTCAGAGACTACGAAACCAGCAAGGACATAGGAAACTGCCCTTTCCCTACAGACTTTCTGAGATGACAGGAGAGCCAACTGCACGATGTTTACAGCAGGAGAACATGCAATGGAATATACGGGAAAGACGAGTGTAGATGACTTTCCTCTTTAGGACCATCTGACTGGACAAGAGAGAAACTCTAATAAACAGAATGGGAAAAATAACTATGTGAAAGTATACTTCCCCTTAGATTCACAAGATCTTTACTTGTTTCTACATCATTCTTGAGTCTGAAAGCTTCGTCTGATGAACAGATCGTGTGGAGAAGTGTGCACTCCAGAATGCCGGCAAGCTCAATGCAGAGATAATGGTCAGAGAGGCCCGAGCTCTCATTCAGGTCTGCGCCCTTGCTCCAGAAGATGTTGCCAAACCAAGAAGTTTAAGAATCAAGGTGTCTCGGATTCATGTGTAAGCTTCTTACTAACTGGTGTGAGTGAATTCTCACAGAAGGGAAGACAAAAGCCTCAAGAACAAAAGCTGTGCTACAGCACAAAGCTCAGCTTCCTCATTTTGTGTGCATGACAGAGATAAAAGATTCAACTCAAAAAACAAAAAAGAAAAAACAATTCAACTCTTGAACATTATATAAGAGACTTTTACACAAGGGCTTAACAAAGAAGTTAGACAAATGTCTATTATTAACATCAGTGCCAGAAAGCCTTCGCTTTCACTTTTTAAAGCTAATTTAAACAGTAGATATTCCACATTCTATAATTTACTATCTCCCTTGCTTGTAACTATATGAGGAAAAAAAATACATTTTGAAGATTAAAATTATCTTAAAAACGAGTAACTTATTACAGGCATATGTTGTTTTGTTGCACTTTGCCATACTGAGCTTTGGAGGTATTCTGAACTTTACAAATTAAGGGTTTGTGGCAACCCTGTCTTAGGTAAGTCTAGCAGAGCCGTCTCTCTGAAAGCACGCACTCACTTTGAGTCTGTGTCACCTTTTGTTAGCTTTCTCAAGATCTCCAACTTTATTATTTGTATTTGTGACGGTGATGGGTAATCGGTGATCTTTGGTATTATGATTGCAATTGTTGTGGGGACCAACAAGCCATGTCCAAATAATACAGCAACCCTGAGCTGATAACCTGTGTGTGTGACAGGTCTACTGACTCACACCTCCCCACTCCATCCTGTTTCCATCCCTCGCCTCTGGCCTGCAATACATCTGTACCTGATTAGGCCAATTAATAACCCCACCACAGCCTCTGGGAATAGCGGCCCGACCCTTACTTTCAATCAAAGGTGAAAGTGATGAAGCTTAATGATCAAAGCCTAATGAAGAAGCTATGCAGGCACTGGAAATAGGTCCAAGGCTAGGGTTCTTGTGCCAACAGTCAAGGTGTAAACGCAAAGGACAGGCTCTTGAAGAAAATCACAAGTGTTGCTCCAGTGAACACATGAATGGTAACAAAGTGAAATGTCCTTACTGCTGATGTGGAGGAAGTTTGAGTGGTCTGGATAGAAGATCAAACATTCCCTTAAACCACGGGTCTAATGCAAAGTAAGGGCCGAACTCATTGCAAATGTACAAAGGCTGAGAGAGGTGAGGAAGCTGCAGAAGAAAAGCTGGAAGCAGCAGAGGCTGGTTCATGGGACTGAAGGAAAGATGTTATAGTATCTTGAGCTGTGGCAGGTTACCCAAAAGATCCAACTAAGTGATGAAGGTGGCTATACCAGGCAACAGATTTCCAGTGCAGACGCAACAGCTGTGGACTGGCAAAAGATGCCAGTAAGCACTTTCATGGCCAGAGAGAAGTCAACGGATGGCTTCAAAGGACAAGCTGGCTCTCTTCTTGTCAGGGGCCAATGCAACTGTGACTTTAAGTTGAATCCTATGCTCATTTACCATTCCAAATATCCTAGAGCCTCAAGAATTATACTAAATGCATTCTGTCTGTGCCCTATAAATGGAACAGCACATCTGTTTACAACATGGTTCACAGAGAGTAGTAAGCCCACTGTTGAGACTACTGCTCAAAAAAAATCTTTTCAACATATTCTTTCTGGTCAGGCAATAGCTCTAATGAAGACACAAAATGAAATTCCCGTTGTTTTCAAGTCTGCTAACAGTGTCCACTCTGCAATCCAGGGATCAAGGAGCAATCCAGACTTTCAAATTTTATCATTTAAAAAATGCATTTTGTCAGTCGATTATTGCCATAGATAGTGATTCCTCTAACAGATCCAGACAAAATAAATTGAAAACCTTCTGCCAACAGTTCACTGTTCTACACACCATTAAATCCACTCATGATTCTCAAGAGGCCAAAATATCAACATAAACAGGGCTTTAGCTTCCAAAGCTCATGGATGACTTTGAGAGGCTCAAGGCTTCAGTGGGAAGGAACTACACTGTGGTAGAAACAACAAGAGAACTACAGCTGGAAGTAGAGCTGAAGATCCACCTGCATTTCTGCAATCTCAAGATTAAACTTTAATGGGTGAGGAGAACTAGAAGGAGGAGCAAAGAAAATGGTTTTCTGAGACGCAGTGAATGCTAGAAATGACATCAGAGAACGCGGACTTAGGTAAGAAAGTACTGGCAGTCAGCACCTGAGTCTTCAGTCCAGTTTTGCAAGGAGGTATACTGTAAACGTCAAAAAGCATCGCGTGCTACAGAGAAACCCTTCATGAGCGGAAGACAGGTCAGTGTGGGAAACCTCCCTGCTTCTTATTCTAAGAATGCACCATGGCCGCCCAGCCTTGGCAGCCTCGGTCAGATCAGGCACAGCACAGCACTGAGGTGAGATCCACCAGCAAGACTCAAAGGGTGACCGGCACATTTGAGCATTAAACATTTCTTTAATGAAGGTACATCCGCTGTTTTCAGCCATAATGTCATTGCACACTCAGTATTCTATAGCACAATGTGAAGTAACTTTTAGATGCACCAGGAAGCCAAGACATGTCTGGGGCTTAAATTCACAATATGTGAATTGCTGTTCTCACTTATTGTGGTGTCTCGAACTGAACCTGCAGCATCTCCACGGTAGGCCTGTACTTTGAGATTTTTCAGACCACTACAAATTAAAGATTATAAAAGCTCACATTCTGAACACAGAATGTAAGTCTGTGTTAAAAAAGTCTCAGATGCCATGTTAAGTTTCTGGCTTACTCAAAATACGTCTCAACCATTTACTACTTGGTAGGATACAGTGAAAGTTTGCAGTAAGAGGTTGAATCACTGCCACTGAAAAAATAAACATCCAGTTTTAAACATCTCTGCTTTTAATGAGCTATTCAGAGAAGTCTTCTTTTCCTTATGCTAAATCTTTCTAGAACTTATTTTCCTGGGATTTTTTTCTAGCATGGCTATTAAAAGATAAGTGGTGATATGAACACGAGTTCTTAAAGCTAAAATCTGCACAGTTCCTGACATTGTTAAACATATGCCAATAACTGCCATTTGGAAATGGTTATACATATTGTAAAAGAACTAACTATTCAGAGATTATTTTAGGCCAATTCATTCTAAATAAAACACACAGGAGGCCGGGGATTTAGCTAAGTAGTTTCGCCGCCTGCCTCCCAAGTGCAAGGACCCGAGTTTGATCCCCGGTACCAAAAAACCCCCAAAAAACAAACAAACAAAAAAACACACAGGAAATAGGAACTTGTTTAGAAAGGAGAAAGTCCAGAAAAGTTTGTGCAGATACAAAGCTGTAACTGTCTTCTCAGCATGTCAAACCTCTAAAAAGCAAGAAGTGCAAATCTAGCGTTCTAGGCATTCTGTGGTTTGGAATAAGAACTGGAAATTTCTTTTTATAGTTTTGGTACCGGGGATTGAAGATGGGACCTTGCACTTGCCAGGCAGGCGCTGGAACCACTGAGCTAAATCTCCAGCCCCCTGGAAATTTCATTTTAATTAGGCCTTTCCTTTGCACAGAATGTTCACTGATCATCAACTTCCTTTAAACATCTGGAATGCCCATAATAATTTTAGTCCTAATTTAGTTATTGTTTTTGAATAAAACATGAAATTTCAAATCTGAGTTTCTGGATCATAACGATGATTACCAACTGTGGATACAGCTTTGTAAAGAATGGGTCAATTAATTCTGCAAAGCTAATCTAGACACAGAAATAGTTTGGTGGTTTCATAGGAATGGTTTTCCCAACACCGAAGGAAGATACTCAGCTGTGTTCTCCAAAGAGTGCAGTTTTAAAATATTTTACTTAACCAATTTAATGAGTTCCTAGCTTACATCAGACACTGGTCCACCTGAAAGCTCTGCATGGGATGAGGGAGCAATCTAGGGGGAAATGAGAGAGCAGCATCCGGTATCCAGGGAAGAACTGGAGTCCTGAGTGGAGGGAGTCACAGAGACTGTTCCAGGACTGTGCCTGCACTCAGTCAGAGGGAAACTTCTGAATGGATTTATGTGCAATAATATAATCTGATTTACATCAATCTGGATGAAATAATTGAAGAGATGGAAGAAGGGTGAGGGAGAAAGCAGGGAGAGCAGTGAGCAGGCTTCTGAGTTATCCAGATAAGAGATGTTGGTGCTGGGACCGGCGTGGTAGTGGCGGGAATGGTAAGCATGATTCTGGATAGGCTCAGGAGACTTGGGGTGGGACTGGCCTTCCAAAGTGGCCTTCCACAGTGGGGTTTTCTGAAGGAGATAAGATAAGATACCATGGAAAGGGGAATGATCAGATGCTCACTCCCTGGCACATGCCAGTGAAGAAGTCCACAAGGCTGCTGGATAAGGAACTGGATGAAATGACCAAGGGAATGGCATGGGAAAAAAAAGAAAAGTCACAAGACCGAGGTCTGAGGGCCTCCAGTGGCAAGAGGAGAGAGAAGGGATAAAAAGCAGGGCGCAAAGGAGATGAAAAGAGCACCCTGGGAGCCAGGAGGACACTGACAGCAGGGTGCCAGAAGCCAGGCTAATTAAGGGAGGACTGAGAACCAGCTGTTGAGCTGCAGGAGTGACGGTGACTTACCTGGGGCAGTTCTGGAAGGAGAGTGGGAAGAGAAACCCAACCAAAATGGACTTTAGAGAGCAGGCAGTCAGGTGTAGACAACCTCGGTTCTCAGAACAAATGAATCCAAAAGCTAAAACTATGCTTTGTGATTAACTATTAGTTTAGAACAAGACTCAGTATCAATGGAAATAAGCATGATCTTAGAAATTCAGAGTCTGAGTGGAAATTCCTCCTTATTATTAGACTAAGAATGGCACATTCTTAAAAGGCTGTCATTGCTTTAGCCTCCTGGATGTAATAGTGATTCAAGTTACTCCGCTTGGTGCTACAGGGACTAGCTATCCTAAGCAAACACTAAGGTGTATGGCTTCCCACATGTACGATTTTAAGTTGGGAGGGTGGGTAAAGCTTTAGGTGTCATTAACACATTATTCAGTTTTGTCTAAATTCTGTGGGAGTTTTCAGCTGTGAAACTGGGAAAAACAAGGATGAAAATTTTTGTTTGAAGGCCAAACAACAATGCAAAGGTTTGAGCCCCAACTGTAATTTCTAACCAAATGTAACACAAAATAAAATGTTGATCTCTAGAAACTGAGCACATCACATGAATATCAAAGTGTACCAGTAGACAACTTAAGCTTTACAATGTCAAACAGGTGCTTAAAATTAAAGCACTGATAAACCATGGTATTCTCTAAGAAAAAATTTTGTAAGACTCGAGGTCTTGCACTGTTCTCTTTTCAGATTTTCTGTATGGAAGATGAGAACCAAGAGAACCCATGGCCCAAATCTTATCAGATATTCAATGCTGTTCAGCTTGGTTAAGTATAAATGTTAGAAAATAATTCAAACAACCCACAGATTATTTTAAAGGTAGGCTTATAAATATTACAAACTTTATAAATATTAACTTCTCCACAATGGGAAGGCACTAGGGAGAATGTGGAAGAAACACCAAACTGTGGAAAAATGTGAGTCCATGTGTACAAACATCCAAAATGACCTATAGATCCAGGAACACAGTAAAGGTAAGGAATCCACGCTGGCTCATTATCACCTCTAATGCTAAGTCAGTGGGTAAAAATTTCTTTTCAATTTATTCTAAAGTAAATTCAGGTCATAAAAATGGACTTGAATGGTGAAATATTCACCTGTTGATGCAGAGATAAGAGAAAGAGAGGTGTGATAACAATAAAAGAACTATAAGCCTTCATTAATAATCAAGCATCAAGGAACAAATTTAAATGCTACAGTATTAGAGAGCCTTCTAGATTATTAAATAATTGGATATAACACAGGGATTTTCTTTATATCCTAAAGTAAAAGCACATGCAAATATATTAATAGATGCATTTTGAGAATTAGGCATCTTTCTCCCTTCTCTGCATTTTGTGTTATAATTTGAGACAATTCCATAGCTTAAATAATTTTGCAGGACATTAATTTGTTCTCCATTCATGTCACACTCTCCTGCTAAGCAGGTATGAATACTAGTATTTCTTAGAGTAACATCTCTGTTTAATGTTAACGTGTGTTCACATAGGAGGATGGTTACACACTATGCCCAATGTGTTATCGCGTAACATTTAACAATGACCATTTAATGGAAAGCCTTGTGGCTCCACACTCGGGGCTGAATTTAATCACTCTGAAAACTGACTGCTAAACTATTTAAATAACTGCTGAATACTTACCAGGGAAAGCATCAAAAGTAACTCTGTCTCCCGGAACAGAGCCCTCAGGAGGAGCCAGGATTTCGACCTTCTCTGGTGAGCTAGCACACATCACCATTGCCTGAGACAGGACTCCCCTCATCTTCGCAGGCTTCAGGTTGCAAAGCAAAACCACCATCCGATTTTGCAACTGCGTGAAACATAAAATTGGTGGCTAAAGCTGCACAGCTGATCAGAATAATCACCTGGAGGATATTTTAAGAGCCACCTATTGTACCAAAGAGCAAATGTTGCTCACACATGAAAGGAAAATTCTCCTAACAACTCATCACAGCTAAAGAGCAGAGGTCTTTGGCTAAATACTTAAGGAATGAATGAATAAAGAAGCGAGTGAAACAGATTTGGTTTTAAATTTTGGCTGCCACTGTCTAGCAGAGAATGTATAAAGTTGATTTTCCTGTTTCCTTAAAAAAAAAGAGATGCCTCCAGTCTGTCTACATTCCCACCTGGACTGGTTAACACTACAGGGTGCTCAGCCTTGTGGTCAGGTCAGAATAAGCCAAGTAGGGCCAGGGATTTCTTTAGCTCAGTGGTTCTGCTGTGTGCCTTGTAAGCGCAAGGTCCCGAGTTTGATCCCCGGTACCTCCCCCCCTCCAAAAAAAGAACAAGGCAAGTGAACAAGTCACTTCACTTTCCCAAGTGGGAAAACTGCTAACACCGAATTGTATACAATAGTAGATCCAAGAGTAAGTGTAAATCATATCCATCAAATACTCCACAAACAACAACCTTCATCATCACTGTTTTTGTCATTATTCTATCATGGAATGTTATCGTTCCTTGATTTAAAAAAAAAAAGCACTGTTATATAAACTCAGGAAGTACTGATCCAAAATCAGGAGAATCAAGTTTTATTTTCTTTAAAACCCAGGAAAAATTTTTGTATTTGAGAAACAAACAGATGAGGGGATCATGAGCAGTAATTCAACATTTTTGGTGGACTCCTTTATTCATTAAAAGGTGGATGTTTTGTATTTTGTTTTTACTTAGTTTAAATATTTTTTTCTTATACAAAATTAAAACATTTAAAAAATAAAACATCTTTTACTCTTTTTGTCCTGATGAATTCTACTTTAATTTACAGATCTTTTTCAGGGTTTTACAGGTTTTTCCTTCTGAGACAGGTTCTTATTGTGTAGTTCAGACTGGCCTTGAACTCACTATGTAGACCCAAGCTGGCCCTGAACTTGAGATCCTCCTCCCTCAGCCTTCAACAGTGCTGGGCTTAGAGTTGTACACCACCATAATTAGTTCAGCTTTTTTGTGGAATTCACATTCAAACTAATCATTTGGACTAATCAAAACTAGCTTACATCATTTGGTCATCTGAGACAAAATTGTAAAAGAAAGACATCAAGAAAGAGAGAAGGAAGGTGACATATGTAAGCAATCGTAATTTTGGGCATACACTTTACCTGTTCAAGAGGAATGTGATTCACCAGGCCACTGACAACTGTTTTTGGGGCTGTTTCGCCAACATCTATTTCTTCTACATACAAAGAATCTGCATCCGGGTGCTTTTTGGCATTTATGATACAGCCAATTCGAAGATCCAGACGGGAAGCATCTACCGGCTTAGAGTCGGCACTTCCTGCTGCAGACAGCTGCTTTTTCTCCTTCTTTTCTCCTAAAACACATTCACCAATGGGCAAACATCAGACTAAAACAAAACTGTGCCATAAGAAACCCATGGCAGCAACACTAATGATCTTAAAAGGACAAAAATTATAATGCTTACCCCATCTTCACTTAATAAGAAGAAAAAGAATTATTTAAGTTACCAAATCTTAGATACTATTTTAGCTATTTCTCTGAAAAACCGTCTACATTTCCCATTACAGATACAGAGCATGGCAAACTATGGCTCACGGGCTCAACTCAACCTGCTGCCTATTTTTGTAAGTAAAGTCTTACTGGAACACAATCTATGTTCACTCCTTTTCATCTCAGAATGTGTGGCACCCCAGGACGATGGGCATCGCAGCACGGCTGAATGGCTGTGATAAAGACTTTGTGGCCCCAAAGCTAACATACACTCTATGGCCTTTTATTTTAAAAAGTTTGTCTTTCTCTGGAACACAGCTTTAGAAAAGCCCTTTAAAATATTTTACTGGACTCTTTGGAAGATGAAAATCCTTTATTTAGAACATACAACCCAATCAATAGTCAGATGTAGACTATTGTGAAATTTGATTCCACTGATAAATGTTTCTCTCACCAGTTCCATGCAAAGGTATGTAGTGCATTTCTCTACTTCTAAGATCTCTGAGAAGTGGCGATACTACACACATATATATAAAACAACACGCCAAAAATTTGTTTTTTGGTTATAAGGATTGAACTCAGAGCCTTCGTACTTGGCTACATCTCTAGCTCTTTTCAGTTTATATTCTGAGACACAGTCTTACTAAGTCTCTAAATTGGCCAGGCTGGGCTCAATCTTGATTCTCCTGCCTCAGCCTCCCAGAGTACTGACATTATAGGTGTGCAGCACCATGCACCAAATCTATCAAATCTTGTTATCTTTATGTGATAAGCTATATATATTTATAATATAATTTACAGCCATACATATATTTCAAACTTTTACTTCACAGGCATCTGAAATTATTAGGAATCCACATTTCAGAAGTGATTGTACCACAAGCTTTGTTACGGAAAGGGGTTTTAGGAACGTTTCACTGACAAAGGAAAGATGCTCAAGATGTGTATGCAGTATTGTAGAAACACCATATGGGCACTGGAGCCTGTGAGGAGCAGAACATTGGAAGTAGCGATCCTACACCCAACATCTACGCTACAGTCCCGGGTAACCAGCACTACTCAACACATGGTGTGCTAGCCACATAGAGCCACTCACTACATTCAAAACAGTCAGAACTAAGTCAGAAACTGTTCTTCAGTCACGCCAATCACGTTTTAAAAGCTCAGCAGCCACGCAGACTTCGGCTCCCCTGCTGAGTCAGGCAGACGTGACGCACTTCCGCCCCTCAGGAAGTTCCCCGGACGCGGCGCTGCAGACCCAGGCTACCTGCGCTCCTGGGCTTTCTCTCCTGTCAAGGATACTGTCCCATCGGGCTAGAAGGCTGACTAGTCCCACAGTCAGAATAACCCTGCCACTCCTTAAGAGAGGGACGACATACGTCTTGTAAGAACAGGGCTCTACGACTTTTTTGTGTCTACTTCGTTAAAAATTTTATAAAGAAGTAGATTTTGCTTTCATTGCAATCATACCACCTAGTGGTGAAGTTAGGCGAGAGGACGTACAGCATCTGCCTATTTCTAACTCATAGAAGCTATTTACTGATGTTTACCTAAAGGAACTGACAAGTACACTGCGCTAAACTGCCTTAGGCTGGTTTACAAATCCCTCAGCCATCTTCTATTTCCCAAAAAACAAACGACAATGAAAAAAGCAACCCAAAAAAGGCAATTATGAACATAATGCAAGTTATGTATACCAAATTTAAAAAGCACTTCTTTGGACATATTTGGTAAAAAAAGAATTCTAGTAAAAAGTGGAGTGTAGTTAAAAGGGGACTTAGATTTATAATTAGAAAAAAATAGTTTTAGTAGCAAGGTAGCAGAAAAGATGAGGTTTTAATACTGATTCAGATGAAAGATCAAAAAAACTTGGACTAACATTAACACTTAACAAAAGTTCAGAACTGGATTCCGGCTTCCTTCGATGGTAGGAGCTGTAAGACTGGTTGCTTGATTAGATAGGAAGATGGAGGGAGGGGCAGGTTAGGATGACTGCACGACCCCAAGCACGGCTGTCTAGGCAGTGACTCGCTCCACGATGTAAGTTCTATGGGTCCCTAAACCTAATACCCGAGCCTTAGTTCAGATAACACGCTGTGACTGATGTCCCCCGCTTATCCTCACAACTGGTCTGACGCCCCCAAAACTCCCATATCAAAGTGGGTACGCGACCCGACACGGCATCGCACTGGTTTCACTGAGGCTGGTCCCCCTGTTCAGAAGGCCAGCTGCACCCTGCGAAGCCATCCACACCCTGCAGAACCAGGCTTCCTCGTCCCAATACCACACTGCTGCTCATACTGTCCCAGTTCCTAAGTTTCAGCTTTCTGTTGGGCACCATTATCATCAGCATCACAAATGTTAACATCATCTGATAAGCCGACCAAGAGCCAAATAAGCTCAATGGTCAAAGTTACCTTTCTTTTCAGTTTTCTCTTTCACCTTCTTTTCTTCCCCTCCCTCTTTTTTGATCTGTTCTTTGGCACCAGAAGATACAGTTCCTGGTACAGACTGTACCATATTCTCAGCGGTCACAGAATTGGCTTGCAGTGGAGTGTAAAATGGGCATGGTATTTGCTTCACTGAAACAGATGTTAGCCCAACAAAAACATTAAAAACATGAAGTGTGAATCATAAATCAAAATTCCTTTACGAAAGAAAAATTAACTGTATATTACTATCAAGTATCCAGTATTATCTGGGGCTGTAGAAAAGCTCCCAAGAAATGAAACCTATTTTAACCATTACTAAAAGTAACAAAAAAGGGGCATGATTTCTATTTAGTCACTAATTACTAAAGTCAGAAAACAATACTAGGTGGTATTTATTTCAGGTTTATCATGTCCCAGTGCTTCTCCAAATGCTTCAAATGAATCGACTCAAGTCACTCTCCCCAGGCGATTCTTCCCCTGTCGCCATTTAGCAAGGATGAGACGTGAAGACACCGGCCCGGCCCCAGAGAGATGAGGAAGAGCACGCCCACAGGCAGTCTGCTTCCAAAGAGCACACTCTCATGGTTGCGAGGACAGCACGCTGGCTTTAGGTTTTCTCTAACAACGGGGAAGGTGTTTCAATACTAGTCATTACTAGTCATTTCTATATTAGCATTGAGGGAGTCAGAATTACTTGTGTATAATTCTTTTATCAAAAGGCAACTTAAAGAAATAAAGTTCTCCAGCAATGTTCTAAGATGTTAAGTAATTTTTACATACCTCCCATGACCATGGAAAAGTATAATCTCATGAGAGATTTGGATGGACTTTAGATTCTGGCTATCTTCATAGACCACTTCCCTGAGGTATTTTTAAGTTCCCTGAAGGGCACTGCTTTGTTTCAGCAATGTGAATTCCTACTTTGTTTCCACCATTAGGTAGAATTCACCACTTTAACACAGCACTAATGAGGGCTAGCATTTCATGAATAAAATTAAAGTTTACAAGTTTAATGTTCACAAGACCAACTTTTTTTAACCATTGAAAGAAATGAAAAGCAGTTTTACACTGAAATGTTTAACTTTATTGAATTCAGTATTTGTATTCCAAATCTACTAGTCTTAGAAAGCATTTACTAGTCTCAAATTTTCTATTGACAAACAACATTCTCTCTAGTTGAGAGCTCTGCTCATCCCTCATTGATTCTGCCCTTCCTATTACTTGGCTAACTGAAGGTGGGCTTTAGACGATGTTAAAAATAATCCGCTGACAGTGGTTCAAAAGAAAGCAGTAAAGGGGCTCTCAATTCACTTGGTCTCAACTTCCCTATAGTAATTTTCTACAACACAATCAAATGCTGTTCTGTGTGGTTCTTTGAAATTACTAGAACTGTTAACAAAAATATGTTTTACAACAATGTAAATTTACCGAGAAATGCTGAATGTAATAAAATGGAAAATTTCACTTACAATATTAATATCTGAAATAATTATCTGCTGGCTTGAATAATTTAAAAATTATGTAGTTTCAGGCAAATTTTTTTTTATTAAGTTTCAGTTTCTTCATAAAGAAAACAACTATATCTGTAGAAAGATGTTTTAAGGATAAAACAAATAATGCACATAATGAACTTGGCATAGAGTACTCATAAATTTTAATAAACGTTAATTGAATACTATTATGGCTACTTCTTGGCAAGTACTCAACAAGGAGTGTGATGATGAGGTTGAGTAAGGCACAAAAATTCAAAGCTTAGGTTTCTGAGCCCTGGCTGTGCAGCCTTCCTGTGACGCTGGCAAAATCATTTGCCTATTCCAAGTTTCTGTGCTCCCTTCTGTAAAGGGAGAGGAATGCACAGAAGAGATGCTGTAAGAGAACAGGCACGACACTGACATAGTAAAGAACTATCATTATTGCAGTCAGTCACCTCCATTCTGAATTTCGGCCTGAATTAGCTCTTGTTTCAGTTCTTCAATTTCTTTCTTCAGTTTAGCATTTTCAACTCGAAGTTTTTTCTCTTCTCTCAGTGTTGCCTGCAAAACTAGGGTCAGGAAAATACAGTTAAAATGTGTTTTTAATGGTTTCTTTTTGAAGACTATTTGGAAAGAGTGTAATCCCTGTATGTATAGCTAGGACAACACTAAGAACCGAATATTTGGCCAGCTCATTTATGCTAGTTTAATGTTTATTAAAACAACATGACTCGAGAGGCTGAGACAGGAGGATTGCAAGTTTGAGGTCAGCCTGGCCAGCTTGGTGAGACTTGGTCTCAAAATAAAAATTAAAAAAAATTTAAAAAGAGCTGGAGAAGTAGCTCAGTGGTAGAGCACACTGAACTTGATTTCCAGCAATGCAAATTCCACAAAACTAGATTCAACCCTGAAGGGCAGAATTCAGGTTAGATTTTTTTGTGCACATAATTCTGCAATTTTTAAGTAAAACTTAAGAGAATCCCTTTGTAAAGAGTGGCATGAACGTATCTATCTTCTTCCATGTAATAATATAGGAAGTATTTGATTTCATAATTGATCTCACCTAATTTTTCATTTGTTACCCCTAATGCTATCCCAACTAATTTTAAAAAACATAATCTTCATCCAGCAGTTTTAAAATAATTCGTTTTTCTACATATTATATACTTATTATCAATTCTAGTTATTGTAAACCTACCATATTATTATATTTGAATACTAAAGACATCTAGAAGTTGTCATCAAAACGCCTAAGTAAAAATTTCCCTTTTTCAACATATGAATTCATATTCTCTAGAAAACTTTAAATTTTCTTACTTGCTTTCTCCTTGAGAAGAGCAACTTGCTGTTTAAGATATCCAATAATTTGATCTGCCTCTGCACCCTTCTGCTCCAGTCTCTTCAGCACTGCCTCACTGGTGGTCATTTTGGCCAAGAAACGGCAGAAAACCCTAAATGCAAAGGTAAAACTGACATGTTATGGTAGGAGGAAGAAATGTGCTCTACGGGACGTGTTTTCTGACGTAACTGATCAGTATCTTAGAAAAACATTTTTCCTATGAAGAGCAACAAACTAAACAAGGCGGAAAGGTTAAGGACACTAATCCCCAAATATATTTACAAGAAGAAATCTTTGTTCCTAAATGCAGGGAAAACACTATTTAATGACATTTAAGGTTCCACGGGGCCGGGGATTTAGCTCCGTGGTTTCGCCGCCTGCTGCGCAAGCGCAAGGACCCGAGTTCCATCCCCGGTACCAAAAAAAAAAAAAGAAGGTTCCAAATTTTAAAGCCCTAAAATACTAGAGTATTACAACACAAGACCTGTACCTTAAAGGAAAAAACGGTAATAACAGTAATATAAATTTAACTAAGTTACTGGATATCATTCCTGTGCTCTAAAGTCAAGAGCTCCTTCCTTACAAAGTACTTGTTTTTCTTTTCTGCAGTACTTGGGACTGAACTCCGGGCCCAGCACAAGCCAGACAAGTGCTTTATGACTGAGCTACATCCCCTCCCCTTTACATAATACTGTATACTGGATATTTCTACTGTTTATTGAAATATATACAGTTTTTAAGAGGAATGTGTGAAGAAGAGTAAATATTAAAAGAAAAAAATCAACAATTAGAAAAACATCATTATTTATCTTATGCCTATTTGGAAGCAATGTCAGTATACATGATGTGGGTTTTATTACAATTTTTAGAACTTTAGTTTTATAATAAATTCAAATGATTTTTTAAAAATCCTGTCAAGATACAGAAAAATGCACATACAAATATTGTGAGATTGATTCGTCATGTTAAAGTTTAAGCTGCCACATCACACACTAAGATAAAAACCGCACTGATAAGAGAGGGCTGCTCATTAGGAACAGTATGAACTGTACGTTTTTACCTGATTTAATACCAACTTATACTTCAAAATGCAACAGTGACATAAGCATTGCTGAAATAAGCCTTGTTTCAAGTAAATGAAACTGCTCTGGATAAATCCTAAACTTTTTGATTAAAAAATTGGCCAGTGGACAAATAACACAAGGTTGTTTTAAAATATCAAATTATCATACAATTTCCATCCTATACAAAAATACTCTGTAAGTTTATCCTTTTATAGAAAAAGAAAACTAACCCCGAAAATACTTTACCCTAGTGTTGACAATATGTGACAGACACAATATTAAAGCTAAATGAAATTCTGTGAAAACAAGGTTGCTAGTAAATGAAGGAAATGTAAACAGGGAAGTCAGCTGGTAAAGGCCTAGCACAGTGCATGTATCCTACATGGACTAACTTTAATAGCTTTGAAAAAGACAAAAATTTGGAGTGAAAATATCACCTTAAAATTCTGTCATTTTCCACGAAGTGATCAGAATTACCATGCTTCTCGAATTACTGCAAAGTCCGAATTTTAGAAGAAAAACAGAAATGGCTACATGAAGAAAATTAAAGTAAAAGTACTATGCTTTTCTGAATTTTAGTATGCTGAATTATATCAATCTCAGTTTAATGTCTATTTTAGTCTAACATAAATAATGAATAAACGTATTCAGTACATGAAATATACATAGTACAAACAAGTAGTAATGCGTATTTAAGAATGTGAAGTTAGAAATACACTTTAGAAAAATACAATCTGCAAAGGTATGGCTTATAAAATGTCATTCAAATTTCAAAATAAACTAGCATTTCAAGTGTCATGAAATAATTTAAGCATAGAATGGTTTTCATAAGTGAGCCAACAGCTCTAATAAGTCACCTACAAATACACACAAGCCAATAGTTGAAGAAGCAAAACATGAGACGTATGCTCTGATTCATAAAATAGTTTAAAATCTTCCAAGACTAACACTAATTTGCAAAACAGAGATCATAAATCCTAGCCTAAGAGGAAAAACAGGATATACAATTTTACTGCACTGATAAATCAACTATTTGGAAAGCAGTTTAGTTACAAAACTGAGTTAAATATAAGACATGGACTTTTGCAATACAGTATATATGGAAGTATAGGACTAGGTTTAGGAAGATAGAGCACCACGTAGCAAAACACAGAAATTAATGAGCTGAACACAGGGACAAACTTACACAACTAGGAAGAAGAAACTAGGTGATAAAGAGAAGTGATAACACTTCCAATGAAACTGATAACACTTCCAATGAAACTGATAGAAATATGAATGAAAAAATCTGAATAATCCTTAGTCATTATTATCGAAAGGGGTTAACAGACCAGAAAGTATAAAGTGCCAAAACCAGTTTTTGCAAAGCTGAAGTACAATGACCACAAACTGAAAACACAAAAAGGTCACAGTTAGGACCAGGTGATAATCGCAGTTTGACCGGAGACAGTTTGACAGTTTAACAACTATGCAGCTACTCAATTTAGTTTGGACATTTTTATAAGTAAACTATATGAAAGCTTTTAAAAGTTAAAATATGTCCAATGATACATTTTCATACAAAAGGTAATGACTGATGAAGAGTTAAGTCAACTGTATACATCTCTCACTCTCATATAATTCAAAACACCATGTGAGACACAGGAAGCATAGTAAAATCAACTTTGATAATTTTTATGCTTTTAAATATTGCAAGCTAATGATATGCTCTATATAACTATATATTTCTTGTACTTAACTATAACAAATACATTACAAAATAAGTACATTTTGTATACTGGTTATAAGTTTACAAATACTTGTTCAGGGTAAGGTCTAGCTTTAAATTGTGAATTGGTAAATAAAAGTAGGACTGAGAAATGGATATTACCTGTAATACTGAGCAAAAATGGACTTTCAACCAAATAATTAGATAAAAAAATATGAGAATTAAAGATGAAAAAAGAGAAAGCATGTCAACAACAAAAAGAACTATTACTGGAAAACACATATTTAGGCCATGAAGTGTTAAAATACAGAGGGATAACAATGATACTATGTGATTACTCAGATAGAAAATAACAGAAAACAGCAGAATCATAAATTCTGATAGATATTAGATAATATCTACTGTTTACTTTGTTTTCAGTATCAGTTAAGTCCTTTTTCAAACACTCAGGCAGTAACTTATTTATTCCAACACCATTAAGCACATACAATTATTGCCCCTCCTTATGCAGGCGTTGCCAATTTACTCTAAAAGTGATAAAAATAGTACAGAATAGGTAATCACATAGACCTTGGATCAAATTCTATCCCTTGTCCCTCTGCCACTTAACATGGTGACCATGAACAAGTTAGTTGACCTCTCTGAGCCTTAGTTTTCTCATTTACACAATGACAGTGCCTTTACATATCTCACAGGGTTGATGAGGGGCAGAACGATATACTGTACCTAATACAATTCTAGGCATAGCACACATGTGGTAGTTAGCTTACCATAGGTTAAGCACTGAGCAAAATTTTTGGAAAACAAAAAGAGGGTACATGTGTAACTTCACCTTCAAGAATCTCACTGCACACTGGGCTAACTGGTGTCATCACAGTTTCTCAGTTCCTAGTTATGACTTTTATATTTTCTGAAGGGTTAAGGACTTAACAAAAAACAAAAATACAACTTACAGAGAAGCATGTTACAAATGTACTTTAGAGAATTTGGTTATGTTACATGTTAATTTGCCAGTGGTATATAGTCCACGAGAGTAATATTAATACATTTACATTAATTCTTAATTTTATAACAGTGAGCAAAACATACCTAAGGACTCCTATCCTCAGCAACACCATAAGACAACAGCCAACAAAAAGTTCTTTGTACATTTTCCCCTACAAATAGTTACTGCCATCAGAATGAAAACAGACTTGAGAGTAGTAAATTATATACAAGGAAGGAAACTCAACAGAACTAAATGGAATAAAGCACATTTCAACTTATATTCTCTCTGAAGGTCTTCTAAGGAGACCTATGAAAACTGCCAGCTATAGCTCAGGAGGCAAAACAATCCACCGCAAGCAATACACAGAATTTTGCCAAAGGCACAATTAGCCAAGAATACCTAAAGAAAAACTGGTTTTTAAAGAATGATATAAAATTTCCTGGTTTCAGGGAAGGAAAAAAAAAAAAATTCACTGAATGCTTTCTGTTCAACTTGCTGTAAATCTAAAACTTCTCTAAAATATAAAGTTATTAAAATAAAAACTCAAGGCTGGAAAGGGTAAGAAAAAAACAATAAGGGTTTGGCTGATTAATGGATACAAAATTATATAGAGAAGGAATAAGTTCTAGTATTCTATAGTACAGTAGGGTAACTATAAAATAATTTATCATATTTTGAAATAGACAAGGGGGTTCTCAATGTTCTCACCACAAAAAAATGATAAACATTTGAGGTGATAGGCTAATTACTCTGAGTTGATCATCATGCATAATGTACAGGTATAAAAATATCACATTTAAGCCCATACTATGCACTATTTTCATGTGTTAATAATAATAAAAAAAGAAACAGCTTCCTTGGGAAAAAAATTCACCAAATCCCAAAAGTATATGGATATGAAAGTATGTAAGTCTGAAATTTGAGAAAATGCTTTGCATTCTAATTACTCATAGTTAGGCAATAATTATTAGATTCCCAAAAGTGTGCATAAGTCATCACCCATGATAAATATGGTATAGTGATGTATTAGGTTACTCTGAACAATTTTAACTGCCACAATGTAGCAACAATTCCATCACACAGGAAGCCTCTTTAACAAAAGAATAGGGCCGGCCGGGGATTTAGCTCAGTGGTCTCCCCGCCTGCTGTGCAAGGACGCGGACCAGAGTTCAATCCCTGATACCAAAAAAAAAAAAAAAAAAAAAAAAAGCAACAAAAGAATAAATATCTTTTGCTAAAACTCAGCTCTCAATAATTAAAAGTTCTTGGCAAAATAAAACTCAGGACCGACCATAGAATGTACAAACGAGCAACTAGTGTCTACATTTCCTCTGCTCAAAGATAACTGCTATCCAGAAATGTGGTATGTGACGCCAATACTAAAAACGTCTTGTGAGATCTAAAAACATGTTGGAGTAGCTTTTAGTCGTGTCTGTCCATTAATAAAACTTTTCTTAAATGTTAAGGGCTGTTTTTAGAATGAGAATTCTAGAAACAGGTTTTTCTAGTAGTTTTTAGCCGTCATTTCAATTGTTTTGATGCCCAAGTTTATGCTAATGATTTCTAGTAATATACAGATAATAATCACTAGCACTGGTGAAGAATATAGATTTTTTTTTTCTAAAGTGCTTACAGCCAACAGCCCTCAACTTAAAAAAGCACTTAACAGGCTGATGACCCGGGTCAAGTTAATGTCTGTATGCTTCATTTTTTAAATTTACCTAACGAGTTCACTTTCACCCCCTATTCCCTAGCCATCTCCTGTGGAATTCCTTCCCCCCCACCTGCCCCTTTAATACGTACTCAGGGGTGGGCAGCAGTCCCCAGTCTCTAGGAGATCACAGACTGTCACCATGCAGCTCGGGGAGGCCTTTGTGTTCCAGGGCTAAAAGTGCTAAACACCTCCCTGTCCACGGCCTTCAGGAGGGTATATGGCCTTGAGGAGGGTATATGCAGACTTACATCCTCCTTGTCTGCCGTGTATGTTACCTACCAAGGTCCCCGAAAGTAATTTAAACTCATGAATCCAACTTTACTAATAGTCCCTGATTTTGCTCCCTAGGCTGAGTTTATAGTAGAGAACAAAGATAAATGTTCTTTGCACTTACTAAGCTTTCAGACAAACGAAGAAAACACTAAAGAAATTTTAAAACTGAGGTTATTTTGAGGGAGACAATGGTAATTTAACAACTTTGCTTAAAGCTCAGACAAATCTTTTACCATTCATCCTATTGCTCATCTCATTATAGTACTTTAATCACTCCACTATTTTTTCAACTTTTTATGAAGTACTAAACTTCAAAACCTTAAATCTCCTCAGAGCCAATAGAGCTTTTAATATGCTAATAAATGTAGGATTTCTCACAGATGATAACGATAATAACTAAATGTAACATTTGAAGAGCATTTACCATTGCTAGTTATATGCTTTACATGGATATACTGTAATTATACAGAGAAGAAAACAAGTTAAAAGTAATTTGCCTCAGATAGTACAATTACTTAGTAAATGAGGATTGAAACTCAGGTCTGCCTGATGCTGCAGCTAGCTCTTTTAATGTTCAAATTATAATTTCTCTAAAGGATATAATTAAAAGCATTTTCCAAGTCATTTAATGACAATTCTAAACAAGGAGCACCAATTAGCACTTCTGAAAATAATATTCTCTAAATAATTTGACAAATACTAGTTTTGTTTCTGTGTTAAAATTTTAAAATTATGTGAAATTAAAATGTAACACTTAATTCCATGTACAGTAATTGTAAATATAAAACATTTGCTAACAGAAAAAAAGCACAAGCACCAAATATCTAAATTGTGTTTGGTTAGTCAAGACCTTTTCCTTTTTTTCTTTATAAAATTACGACTGTAATAAACATTTTTAGATGAAAGCTTTTGAAAAGTAGCATCTAAATGAATCTGTCCTCTGATACTAATTATCTTTCCCATCAAACCCAAACTGCTATTAATTGTACAGGGCCTCTATCGTCTGATACCAAATACATGAAATTGGGGTACTTCTTAATCACTAAAACATACTCATAAGAGTACTGCTGAAACCACCTTTCCTGTAATTTTGCTTCACTGTAGCTTTCTCCTCAGTAGTCCTCCCCATCTCATCTAAGTCGTCTCTAATTTCTTTTAAGTAGCAAATCCCTTATTCCAGTGCCCAACATTAGAAATCAAATTCAAACAATAATATACTGCCTTGACATCTAAGTTTTAAGTGCAGATTTTTGTATTTATAGCATAGGAGCTACACAAGAATCTGGCAGGGTCCTTCTACCTTTCAAAACCTCTGATTTCACTGTTTCAGAATTGCAGTTATATAAAAACTTATGTTCTTTTTAGACACTGTAAACACTACACATCATCAAAGCCAAGATGGTAACAATTATAAAATGGCTGCATTCATAAGATGCCTATTAATTTTAGGTACAATTGCCAAATTATCTCACATTGAAAAAAACATCTTTATGATAGTATTAAGCAGTATGGCACCTTTAGAACTAGGTTAAAATTAAGGTACAATTAAAATATGTATCAAAAGTCAAGAATTTAAAGTTAAATTTTAAAAAATATACACAGAACACTATATCCCGAGGCACACAGCATACAGTATATAGCAGCAACAACCAACATGAATTTGAGTCTTTTTATCAACCTTTGCCAAAACCTACAGAAGGAAGATCTAAAACCATTTTTTGTGAAGGTTCGTATTTACTCTTGATTTTTTTTTCCTTACCACAAAGCCTTCTTTCCCTTTACTAATGAGGTCACAGGGTCCTGGGAAGTTTAAACATCAAGGACAGTTATGAGGTAAGGGGGTGGCCATAGAGCACATGGTTTTGGAGGACAATCCACAGAACTATGACCACTAATACACACACTTTCTTTCCTAGTGAGATGTATACATTTAATCTAAAAAGAGGTAAATCCAAGCCTGCTATGATTCTCTTACCTCACAACTGGGCTTTTACCTGGTTCAGATTATCTTTAAAAGGGCTTAACCATTCGTTCACCATCATCTTGCCCCATTTTTTATCCAAGAACACAGCTAATAATAGTATCTATTACTTTAATGGTCTGGGCCCATTAATACTTTGTCATTTAATCTTTACAGCCTTGTAAGATATTTTTTCCATTTGAGACATACTCAGAGAAATTATATGATCTGCCTAAATCCACTCAAGTAATAAATGACAAAGCCATGATTTTAACTTGTTTGTCCCTCCTCTGAAACTCAACACAATTCATTTTTAGCGTTTTCCAAGGCCTAATTAAAGATAATTGAACTTCCATCCAAAATAGAGTCAGTTTAGCTCAGTGGTGCCATACTTGCCTGGCAAATGCAAGGTCCTGAGTTCAATTCTGGATACAGGGAAAACAACAACAACTTTCATCCAAAATACTCTTACACATTAAGTGTAGCAAGAATATGACTGGTTATTTCTTACTACCTATGTGAACTCACTATTTTCCCTATGGTCTTTCTTCCATTCCACTGTTCTCACTCTATGAATGATACTTTTAAAAGGAAATCGGACTGGGCCAGGGATTTAGCTCAGTGGTTCCGCCGCCTGCCTCGCAAGCGCAAAGTCCCAAGTTCAATCCTCGGTACCAAAAAAAAGGAAATCAGATAATATCACTCCACTGAAGTAAACCTTCCAATGGGTTCCAGATTCCTTTAGGATAAAAGGTAGATGCACTCAAGACCCTTTATGACTGTTCCTTTTCGTCTTGATTTTATCTCCAGCTTTATCCCTTCGCTCATCTGTGATGCAGACGTCCTTGCTGTTCTGTTAGGCATCTGTTTCATGGCCTTTGCAAAGGCTGGTACTCATGCCTGACTGCACTCCCCTGAGATATCTGCATGGTTAATTCTCTCATCTCTGTCACCTCCGAGAAAGTCATCTTTTCTGTGAGACCTTCTCTGGCCACACTAAAAATTCAAACTATACCCTTCTTCCACGCTTGACAGTTTTTCTCTTCAGCACTCACCATAACCTAAAATATGGTGCTTTTATTTACTTTGTTCAATTTGTGCTTGCCTTAATAAGATGTGAGCTCAGCAATTTGGGCAGGAAGTTTGTCTGTTTTATTCATTCACTGCTGTTTCTAATCTGTTCACTGGTCTTGATCTACTGCCTGAAACGGTGCCTGTAACGTGGGGGACCAGTAATACTATTTGCCAAATCAGTGACTTCCTGTCCCCATCCTTTTTCCCACAAACATTCAAGTTCTTCGACACACGCTCACATAAAAGTAAACATGTTTATCGATCTACTTTTTCAGGAATATCTTTTCCCTTGGCTCTGCCTCCATAGCTCAAACTTAGTTCCCTGAAAAGGTCCCAAGCTGTTTCCTACTTTCTAATACCAGGGCAGGTGCTGGTGCGATCAGACTTCTCACTAGCACCCGCCGGCCAGATCTTCTCTCCTGGAGGCGAATATGGGAAGAGAGGGACTCCAGCGATGGCAATCTGTCTAGCCCAGACCCTCCGAGAAGTCACTCACATGAAGCAGTGGACAGTGGCTCCAGGACAGGAAGCGACACCGTCCCGCACCCGCTGGCACCGAGAAAGGACCCACATGAGGCGTCCCCGCTGAACGCCTGAGTGTTTCACAAATTCAAACCCTCCTTCTGTCGTCCCCTTTCTGCGCCTAGTGCTATTCAGTCTGGGTCTCCCATTCCCTCATCCGCTATCACCAACTCGCCTCACATTCTTCCTCGCTCGCTACATTTGTTGGTTAGTTTGGGCAGGCACCCGGCGGCCGGAAGTTGGGGCCCTTTCTCACTCTTGGGTCGCGCGGCTGTGAGGTCAGAAGTGGGGCCCAGGTGGTGTGTGCAGGAGGAGAAGGCTGTCGGCTGTCAGTGGGCAGTTGCGGGCGCGCCTTCCTGCCAGGTTCTGAGTAGCGGACCTCGGTATTCCTGGCTCGCCGGCAGAGGCCAGTCTCTGAGCTCCCGGCGCACCAGCAGCGACCTGTATTGTGGAAGCCCCTGAAATGCAGAGCTGTGTGCATTAAGCCGGAGCCACAGCGTTGGGGCCCCGGGTAGGCTCTCCTTCACCCTTGTCATTGTGCCCGCCTGCGTGCCCAGACCCTAAGGCAGGTACCCGGGTGTCCTCGTGTTGTGTGTCGTCGTAGCAGAGGCTGGTAGGTGGCATAAGAGTGTCAGGTGCAGCCCGTGGCCCCCGTGTCAGCTGCGAGAGATGGAGTGAGCTGTAGAGCTTCTTGCTGGGCACCGTCTCCGTCCTTTGCTATAGCCATCTTTCCTCAGTAACAAGTCTTTGGGAAACTGTAGGCAACTCTCGAGAGTAACCACTGAATAATCGCTTCACAGGAAGACTTAAAGAGCAGGGTAGAGAATATGGAATCTTCCTCTCCATTACTTAGCAAAAAATACGGACTTTTGCTTTTCCATGTTTCAGAGTTTCAGAGTTTACTCCCTTGAGAAGTAGGAGAAAGTGAAGCAGTGGAAAAGGGTGAATTGAAAATTGTCAGTGACTGTTTCTCAAAGCCTCGTGTCCCTGTTCCTCTGTTTGAGACAGATAACTTTGAATGAAGGTATATGAAATAAATAAATTATGTAATTCCATTTGCCCATTGAGAACATGCGAATAGTATTTTATTTCTGATAAAATTAACATCTTTTCCTTAATGTTGACATTCACTCTTTTCATTCGAGTCGTTCAAATCCAAGCTCTTTCAGGGCAGAGACTGTGTCTTGTTCACTGTCCTTGGCCTAGCAGCTGGAAAAAAAAAATTTAGGGGTTTCAAAGTGTTTGTTGAATGAATTTTCAGACCCAACCACTTATATTGTTTTCCTCTTGTAACTTGTCACCTCAGTGGGTTTTTTCAACTGAAAATCTAATGGTACTTTGTAGTAAGATTGAATAGTGTAATAGTTGTGTCTCACCCTTCGTACTCTCGGCCTGTTCAGAGATAAATACCTTTAAACCTTTTCTAATTCTAGGCCTGTTTGATAAATTAAAATGCTAATTCTTTTTCTATCGATGTCTTAAAGTAGTGTACTCACGAGTTGTGTTGTAGCCATAATTTTTCCTCCAAATTTTGGAATTGTTATAATCACAAATTTTACTTTTAGTATTAGCTATTTTATTACATATATATGTACTTTTTCACACAAACTTTTGAAAGTCTATTTTGACTCCTTTTTTAAAATGAGAAAAGTAATGACCTTCATTTATCAAGGCAAAACCCATATTCACCCATGTTACTGAATCTGTATGTTCTGTTCCTATGCTATGCTGTTTGCAAATGACCAGACAGTTCTGAGAGCAAGCAGGAGATTTTATTCAGTGGCTAATGAACAGACAAGGGGAGCTCTCTCTCTATGCACATTCTCCAGCAGCTCTGGGGTCTGCAGTTCTATAACTCTGGGTCATGAGGCGGTATGGCAAGCGTGCTGTCATCAGAGCTTTTCACAGAGAAGGAAGATTTCTAGGAGTCAGGGTACCATTCTCTTTCCTAATTTGGGCGTGTGCAAATGTGACATGGTTTGATAGGTGTTTTTTTAATTATTCTAAAGATTATAACGAGTCCAAGTTCTTCTGGAGTGTCAACATGGTGCCACAACCAGATGCAGTAAATCTAGAGTTCCCCTTAATGGTTGGCAGTTCGAAGTACATGGTTATCTGCTGTGAACGTTCAATCAAGCAACATCTGTAAGCAACTAGAGCTGATAGGACAGCCGACTATCAGTAGTTACGGAGTTTAGTCTGGTAACACCTGTGCTTTCTCTCAGCTGGCCCCTTACTTGCATATTGCCAAATTTAATATTTATATTTTATTTCTTAACCATATTTTTTGCTTTATGTGCTAAAAGCCAATCAAGTGTTTACAGTATTTGTCTTTATAATGATTCCTTAGTGCAGAGCCAAGCAGCATGCTAGAATACATTTTCTTCTCAATGTTTTTATTTCATAACCCCTGCCCTTATTTAAGAAGCATTTTTATTCCTGTAATGGCTGCTTCCCAGAAGGCGGTGTCACGTGTCACTTCTTAGCCTCAGCTTTCGGAGATCCGGAAAGGGAGAATTTCAAGTCAGATAGAATTTTACATATATCATTTCTTTGGAACCTTCAGCCTCCTGCATCCCGACATCATGACCGCAGTTTCAACACAGTTGTTCTTAGTGGTCATTTCACTACTTCTGGTTCTGCCTGTTGTTGAAGCAGTAGAAGCTGGAGATGCAATTGCTCTCTTGTTAGGCATGGTTCTCAGCATTACAGGCATTTGTGCTTGCTTAGGGGTGTATGCACGAAAGAGAAATGGACAAATGTGACTTTTAAGGGCCTGCTGATTCAAACTTCACCCTGAAAACCTTTGTACTACTGAGACCCAACCTGAACCTTGGTCTCTAAAGTTACCAAGAAATAGTAGGGTTTTTCACATTCTTGGTTGTTTCTGATAGAAGGGGAACAAATCAGTATTTGTTAAGTGAGGAAAAATGTTTTCTTTATAACAAATAATGCACTGAAAAATGCAGCCAATAGTTTGTTACTTAGAAAGCAGGCCAAAGATTTAACATGGCTTTAAAATGGATAAGTAATATTTCATAGTTTGAGAATTACCAGAGCCCATGAATTAGGACTAAAGCTTTTGCCCAGAATCTCCCAAATCATCAGTGTTTAGCTCCAATCACTGCCTCCTGAAATGTTGAGGCTTTTTCTTCATGTTTTCAGATTTTTATTTTATTTTGCAAGTTAATATTGTACTTAGACATCAAACAGCCAAAAATTGAAATTTTTATCTCTGGGGGAGAAAGTTTAGAAAAAGAATATATTCAACTTATCTAATATTGGAATGAAGAAAAGATTTAATTTTTTTTACAAAACCCTTTATATTGTCAATAAAATGGAAAAATAATTTACTGTAATAATACCTTTAATATTGAGTGAAATCAGTATTCACTGAGAAGTACAGTGCTATTTAAATATAAATCTATTGCAAAAAAAATGAAGCATTTTTGTGGTATTAAAGTCAAGTTGATTTTTTCTTCCCTGCTGATGGCTAAAAATCATGCCATAGTGAAGTGCACTTTATTTTATAGATTATATACCTAGATTTTTACCCTCCTCATTTTTTACTTTAACCCACCTCACTTTATTGGTTTTTTGCTTTCTGATGGATGTCTTCTCATTTTTTGTGTAACACACGCAGAAGTTTCTATTCCATTCCTTTTGCTTGAAGTCATTCCCCTTGGAGCAGAGCAGCTCTTTGTCTAATCTGAACAAAATTGCATTCTGATGTTTGGATAGTTTCTATCCTGTGTTTATATTTATTGAACTTTTGAGTAAATTACATTTTTTCTTAACACATCTTTTTATTGTTTCCCTCCCTCTGTTTTGCTAAAATATATCTTAAAGAAATTTGCTTTCAAAAGGTATGTGGATGGTAGTTGTGTTTTTTAATATTTTCTTGGCTGTAGGCTGCTATTTGCTGTTATGATTGATTGCTTGGCCACATCTAGAATCACAATTATGTTCCTTCGAATATTTTAATATTCAAATATTTACTTTTTTAAAACTTCTGTTCTTGCTGATGAGAAGAAAACCATTTCTCTGAAATGGCTAAAAATTTCTGGATTTTTATCCCGTTATTCTGGATACTTTGAAAATTTATGGTGACCCATTTAGGTGTGTTTATTCTCTTGGCAATGAATTCATTCCAAGGAGCTAAGATGTATCCCAGTGTGCGTCATTTTTCATTTATGCTTCTTGAAAATACAAACCTTTTAAACTTACCTTTAAACTATGGGGAATTTTCTTTTATTCTGTCTTTCATAATTTTATCTCCTTTATTTCTGTTTTTTGAAACTCTCATAAAGTGGTTTGGTTTGTGGCTTGATACATACATGTTATCTATTTTCTTATATTTCATCTATTTGCCTTTTTGCTGCATGTTCTGAGCCATTGTGTGAACTTTGTTTTCCAGTGTTTTTATTTATTTTGGCAGTCATATAATTTCCACTCATTTTTGTCTTTATTTTTTCTCACAGTCTCTTAATATTTATGAGGTGAAATTTACACTATTTAAAATGCATTGACTTTAGTGACAGTTCAATGAGTTTTAATGTCTGTATTTACACTTTAGCACTACCCTAATCAATATACAGGACATTTCCACTATTATGAAAAGTTTCTGTCTTTCTCTATCCACTCAATTCCTTCTTCCCCACTCTGAGTATTACCTTCTGATTTCTATCGATACGTTTAGAACTATAGTTCTGGAATACATTTAAAGGGGCCATGTAATATTTACTCTTATGTCTGTTTCTTTCATCAACGTAATGTTTTTGAGATGTATTTATGTTTTGGCATGTTTGTTCCTTTTTTGTTGTTGGATAGCATGGCATGGTATTGGTATGCTGAAACTTGTTTATCCATTTTGTCACTCAATTGTGTAACATTTGTGTTGCCTCAATTTTTTAACTACTATGAGGAGAGCAACAAACTCCTACACATGCACCAAAGGGGATTCATATAAGAAAGACCAGGGCAGTATTTGTTCCTGATATCCCCAACCTGGTGACAACTTAACGGTCCAGTAACATTTTAATGGACAAATATTCATTTTCTTGGGTGAATGCCTTATAGAAGTTAGGGATATTTTTGACCTTAGGAAAGTTTTCCAAGTTCCTGTTCCCTTTAATATTCCCACCAGCATTATGTTGAAGTGCCAATTCCACATTCTCTTCAATACTTGCTATTGCCAGTCATTTTAATTTTGGCTCCTCTGACAGAAGTGAAAAGCATCTTGCAGTGGTTTTAATTTGCATTTTTCTGATCTTTCTTATATGAATAACCTTATGTATATAAGCAGGAGTTTCTCTGAGAATATAATAGCGAGATAGTGTTAAAATTTTAAAGCAATTGTACCAATTTATAATCCCACTTACAGTATATGTGTGGTCCAATTTCTTAATCTTTAAAATTTCTTTTTATCTTGGTTTTTACTAGCTAGTGCATATAAATTCTCATGTGGTTTTAATGAGCAATTCTTTTATTGAGATTATTTTTGTTCTCATGTATCTATTGATCATTCCTTTTAATTCTTCTGTGAAATAGTTTTCTGTAACCTTCTGTTTTATAGAGTGGATATAATATTTTCTCACATCTGTCTAAACATATGTTGGGCTTTTCAAAAATTATTTTAAGTTCCTCTGAAGCCAGAATTTGGAGAATTTATTTTATTCTTTAAGCTTTGTAGTGTAGTTTCTCCTAAACTATCTGGTGCCTCTGACAGTTCATTATTTAAGAGTTAAGGCTGTCTGAGAGCTTTGTGTGTGTGGAAACCCTTGTTAACTGGCACACTTGTTTTAGAGTGGCTATGCGGGCAGCCCAAACTTACAGTGGTACTGCAAATTCAAGAAGTAAGAGGAACTGCCCCCCCCCAAAAAAAACAGTGTCTGTACCGGCTACTATAATTTTCAAACAAAACTTTTTTTTTTTTGCTTGGAGGGTAAATTATTGCCCATATTGAGGTGGCAAAATTGACTTTGTAATTTTCGACATTTCAAATCACCCTTCTGACTTGAAATTTTCTTCTGTTGCTCACCATTGTTCCCACCTTCTCTGAATCCAAAGAGGGCGAGCCAGCCAACCTCTTAACTATTACAGGTTGTATAGCTTCTTTTTTGCTATTTCTCATAAGAGCAGCCTTATGTAAGCATTCTGCTTTCTAGGAGTTTCTTGAAGTCTTTCCTCAGCTTAATAGTAGGTTATCCAAACTTTAGGTAATGAGTAGTGCTTTTTGATAGGAAAGTGCAAGAACACACTTGCTCTGCTCTTAAAAATTTTAGGCATCACTGAAGGTAAAATGTTCTAACTTTCCCTTTTTATGCTGTTGAAAATCTTTGAATTTGACTTAGAGCTGCATATATGTATTTACATTTGGGTGTTTTTTCCTCTGATACTATCTTGAAATTCTTAAACTTTCATATTTTTCACTGTAAAGTGATCAGATTGGCATAAGTTGTATAATAAATCTTCCAAGTTGTACAATAACTCTAAGGTGAGAAAATACTGCCTTAATGTTTGATTAATCTGTCATAAAATTCCCTCTGTTTCCAGATCATCTTGAAGAATTCAGGGCTCCAAAAATGTTTCCCTTGAAGGATGCCGAAATGGGGGCCTTTACCTTCTTTGCCTCAGCTCTGCCGCACGATGTTTGTGGAAGCAATGGCCTTCCTCTCACCCCAAATTCCATCAAAATTTTAGGGCGCTTTCAAATCCTAAAGACGATAACCCATCCCAGACTCTGCCAGTATGTGGATATTTCTAGGGGAAAGCATGGTGAGTTGGGTTTGCTTTTTGTGTTTTGTTGTTGTTGTTTGTTTGTTTTTCCTATTTTGTGATCTCTACTTTGTCACCAAGATTCAATTTTAAATATACACTAAGAATATAAAGAAATGAGTAGGTATGCAGGCTTTCTTTTTATGTTTGAAAATAGTTTTGGCTAACTGTTCACATGAAAAGTCCCTAGTTTTTAATAGCATTAGCCTTTTCATGTAGGATTATATTTAGAGAACTGAAGTAGAAAAGTTCAGCTTCATTGGTTAAAAAGTTGGGTGTTGCACTGCAAAAGTGTTGACTGTGTTTTTAGTAGTATAATTAGGTTATTCCATACCACACTACAGCTGCTTGTGGTGACAATACTTTTAATTATTTTAGAATTATTTTTGAAAGCTCAATTGGAGGCCAAGATTCCATATCTTAAAATTATGTTAAATAAATTTTAGTGAAATGTATCTAACTTTTTCAAATAAAGTAATTGGGAAATATAAAAAACATATGTGAAAGCAAACTATGTACTTGCTGATATTCAACTTTTTTTCCCCATAAAATATCAATTTCCTGTCTTTTAACCTAGTATTAAAGACTCTCATAAATGCAAACTTTATTGTATTCTGGCAAGTGGGCTAAACTGTACTTTGGAGTTGGCTGGTTTATTTCTGTCAGAAGTATTTGTTCTGAGAATGTTTGTGTTTTATTGAAAATGTTTTTTGTAATGATATTTATTAATGCCTAATGTTTGTGTATTATGTATCAGGAAATATTGTAATGTTTTACACATATTTTAACTAGAAATCCTCATAATTTTACTACAAGATAGGAACTATTACATTTTCATTTTTCAGATAAAAAATTTGAAGCATAGAGCAAGGTCACACAAAGTTAAATAATAAAAAATGGAATACTAATCCATAGTAATCTAAAAAATCATGCATTTTATTTTCTGTTGAAAGATTATAAAACTTGCTATAAGTCTATAATAATACAAACATCAGCACCAATTGAACTATTTGTTGCCTTAAATACTTTAGAGCTCTAACATATACTTAGTACCCTGAAAGTTTAGGTAGTGTCAGGAAACAGTAAGAGACATAGGAGAGTGATAAAAAGAAATAATTGTCTAGCAGATGATAGAAGTATTTGATTTTCATGTTCTTATGTATACACAGATATATTATGCATACCTACTTACATCTCTTATATACATATGAATATATACTAGTGCATGTATAACATATATGAATATATAGATACTAAAATATTTATGATTCCACTGTGGCCCTTTTTCTGTGCAAAACTGTATTTAATTGGTTAATCAGCAAATACATTCAATGCTTACAATACCAAAAAAAAAAAATACTTACAATACCTTCAATATTTACAATACTTAAATATATTCAATACTTACATACTTGGCCTAGCCTTCCAAGAGAGAACACGAATGACACCATATTGAGGCCTTGAGGATCTCTTTCCATAGGGAAGAAATTTGAAGGCCAGACTGATAGAAAACAGAGTTTGAAACAAAAATTACAAAGATGTTGGTGAGATGAAGATTTTTTTTTTTTCCGATACTGGGGATTGAACTCAGAACCTTGTGCTTTAGCTGAGCTAAATCTCCAGCCCTGAGATCAAGATTGTTTAGGAGCTACTCTTTCTTATGCCATGTCACATTTCTTTTATTCTGCTTTGGCATGCAGAACCTCTGTCTATTGAAGTTATAATAATTTAATACACTTTTTTTGTATATCCTTTTATTGGTACATTTTAGGTGTACAATATAATGTACAATATAATGACATTCATCATTGGAGATATGCACCTTTACATACTCTCTTGGTTCTTATTTTTTCCCATTCCCCTGCCCTCCCTTCAACCCCTCCATCCTTCCCTATTTACAAAGACTTTGTTTCCATTTTCTCATATTAATTCCACTCCCTTCTTTCCTTTCCCCTGCCCCTCCCACTTCCCCCTCCCCTTTGCCCCTTTTCTGTACACTCTTACTTGATTCTATCGCCCTCCTTGTGCAAGTTCCAAATATTTGAAGATGAGTAAATTAGGATCCCAATTTCCAAATAAACCCCAGAAATAATGGAGATGAATAGAGCCATGATTATAGTACAGTAATAATTATATGATGGGTGATATACAATGTCCTATGTTGCAAGAGTACAAAGGAGAGGATGTTAAATTCTGCATTGAACAATGCTGATATTAAATTCCTATCTAAAAATTTTGGTGGGATTAAGGGTTGTAGAACAGTGGGGTGGTTCTGTTTGTGAAACTTTATTTCAGTGGTACTGCGGGCCTAAAAGGGTTAATGGAGTTTTCAAAGACATTCTAGGCTTTTATTGACATACTCATAAGAAACAAAATTTTAGTCTTATTATTTCTTATTTTAAGAGAAATTTTCACTTCTTTTATTTATTATAATCTTACTTTTTTCCAAAAAGAATTTGAGACAAGTTGCAGACATCCATGTAATATTTAATACCAGTTGAAAAGCCTTTATTCAAAAGTCCAGAACCTGAAATGCATTGGGACTCAAAAGCCTTGGGACTTAGGAGCATTTTGGATTTCAGATTTTTATAGTAGGGTCGTTCAGTTTGTAAAGTCTGTACACTTATTCTGAAATCAAAACCTAGGGAAATTTGGAGTACTCTTATCTCAGGAACTTTGGGTAAGGAATACTTACTTACCTTGTATAATAGTACATGAAAGAAAAATGTGTAATCAAAATGTAGTAGGAGTAGAATAAGAATTCTTCCTCTGCTGTTTTGTTTAGTGGCTAGCGTCCATGAATCAAATTGGTAAAAGACAGATTAACAAGAGAAAAAACTCAGTCATTTATGAATGCAGGGGAGTTCACAAAAATGTAACTCAAAGAGTCAGTTAAAATTGGAGGCGAACTACCAGGTTACCAAAGGTGATGAAGTCCAGCAAAAGGGGTTTGGGCTTCTGGGGAGGGGATAAGTTGGTGCAAGGTGGCTATGAAATCTGTGGTAAAAATTGTTTAGTAAGATTGTCTATATAGGTAAGAGTCCTTCTTCTCTTTCTGTTTTGGAAAGTGAACACTTTTACAAAAGGAAATTTTTGTCACCTTTATCTAGGGAAATTTACGTGTATGTAATTTTTTTTGTACAGAAAGGGGGAGACAGCTAATTACCTTGAGCACAAAACAATCTTTACACCGACTGGTGTATTTGGGAGTGGCATACTCTGATCCTCTTTATGGAGAAAAGAAACAAAAGTCAATATAAGATAAAAGATCAGTAATATTAATGAATGTATAATTTTGTTCAGATAGACTATAAATCCCTTTGTAAACTTCAATAGGTCAGAGCAAAGAAGGAAATCCAAGTGATTCAATTATTTTTATAATTAGGCAACATACTGAGAAATTAATTGCTAGATATTAACCAAAACATGGAAAAATGATCCAGTGCAGGTTTTATAATGTTCATACAACCTGTTGTCCGGGTAAAATATGGAAACATTTTTAGAGAAACTTTGGGATGAGGATCTGAGATCTCATCTGGCTAAGTTTGCTGTGTTGTTTCTTTTGGTGTTGATCTCTGAGCTGGGGATTCTCTGACTTAACTGTCCCAAATTTTCTGTGGATAAACATTAAGGAAATGTGACACTTTGGAATAGCAGTTCTTGACTCAGTAGCCACAGGGATCTATGATAAGGTTTTAAAATGTCTTTGACCCCTTCAAAATTGCAAATGGTGTGTGTTTGTGTAGATGTGTGCACATGCATTGTCTTGAGGATAAATTTATAATTTTTATTAAATTTTTACAAAGAATTCCTAATTTAAAGTAAGGGTTTACAAACACTGGTGTGGCGTATCATAGATATGGGAAGATTATCTTCTTTAGGTAAAGGCAAACTTGAGACGTTCTGATGTAGGGTCCTGACTTGCCAAAGCTGACCTGACCTGTACCAGCGCAGTAGCATAGTGCGTCTTTACTAACGGCGAGGCCCCTGTGGGCTACTCTGTAAGACTTTACAGTGTTCGCACTGCATACCAGCCTCAGCCCAGTGGAGCAATCGGAGCTCGAGTCCAGTTCTCTGTCATCCTGGAAGGAAGACAAGAGTGCTTTCTCTAATTTACTTAAAGACAGGCGTAAAGACTCATGGAAACTAGCCCTACAGCAGACTGCAGTTAACTCCAGCCACTTGTCAAAAGTAAAGAACTTTTGGTAAGGTTTTTGTTGTTAAAAAATAACTTTTTGTCCAGATGTGGTGGTACACACCTGTAATGCCAGCTGCTCAGGAGGCTGAGGCAGAGGGATTGCAAGTTCAAGGTCAGCCTGGGCAACTTGGCAAGACCCTGTCTCAAAATTAAAAAATAGAAAGGGCTGCAGGTGTAGCTCAGTGATATAGAGCACTTGTCTAGTGTGTGTTAGAGGTCCTGGGTTCAATTCTCAGTACTGAAAAAAAACAAACTTTTTGCTAAAGCTATGTATTTGTCCCATTATTTTGATGACATTAACTAGACATTTAAAAATTATGGGGAACGTTTACAGATTTGTACATCATGTAACAATTACTAGATAATTAGTAGATACTGCCAATCCCTGCATGCTCCATAGTCCTCCCACCTCTTGCCCCCAGTCCACTTACAGATTATAAAGAATTTCCACTTGCAGGACTGGCCCAGTTCCCAAACTGCGCAAAGCTTGGCAGTACAGTAGATTATCATTATTACCCCTGGCTGGTGACCACATTTAGTCTTGCTTACTTCCTTATGCAGATCTGGAGTAGACCTGTCCTCTCGAGCTCTGGCAGCTGTTTAGTTCCTCGAACTTCATTCCTAAGTGTACTCCATTTCTTTTCACTATGGTACCTGTAAGCCTTTTTGGGGCTTCACTTGCTCTAATGGGGGTATTGTATCTGACAGGTTTTTCCTTTGCCTCCTTCTCTCGGGAAAATTCCTTCATTAGTCCTAAGTATTTCTTGAGCTCCTCCTGTTCCTTCCTCTACTTAAATGAGCC